TAGACACAACGTGGATAACACAAGAACAGCACCAACAGAGATGCGATATGGAATTTCATTTTGCTGAAAGGTGAAATTTCATCGATTTTTTAGGGGCTGCTCGCGTATAACCCGCAATAATAATCCGAGAATTCGATGAGAAACTTCAAAATTTGACTCTTGATACTGTAAAGTTTCGTGAAATTTTGCATCTTTGAGCATCACGGGTTCTCATCTGGTTGAGCCGTTGCAATTGGGTATCAGGAAATTCTTGAACTAGAAAGGAACATCACTCTGTTTCGTTTAAAACTCTTACATAGGAAACAATGCAGTTAACGAGAAGTTCAGAACTCAACTCCTGAACGAGATATCAAAAAATGTTTTTGACATAGTTCAAATGGAAGTCAGATTAAACCATTTGTACTTTATTGTATGATTACGCCATTTGTATTTCTGTCAATGAGCCAATATCAATTGTAAACACTTTTATCTTGTTCAGGAGTCGGTTTTTAGATTTTTCGTTCAGTAATTCGTTCTTCCCGTGAAATTTTTCAGAAGCAACTCTTTTCCCAGTGCTTTAACGTATTCTTTGTCTTCTCCAGCCAGCGGGCCGATTGTTAAAAAAAGTAGACAAAGCTAAAGACAAAAAAGACAGAAGGGATATGGAGAGATCCTATTTGCGGAAGCGGGTGGTTGCAATGGACATAGGACGGTAATAGACTAACTAAGTAACGGCAACCCACGAGAGACGCAACAGTTAGTTCATCATTTCTCCCCTTAGTCCACATAAGAACGACCCATTTCAACCAATAGGATCGCTGCACACTCCCTATGTCTCCTTTGTCTATCGCTTTGTCTATCAATTTCAATAATCAGCCCTCAGAGGCCCATTCTGAAATCAAGAGCCGAAACTTGTAGTCGAACGAGGTTTAGAGTGATCATGAATCAAAATCGAGGTCCAACCTTTTTACCCGACCCTCATTTTTATTCACTAGGCTGGAATCAAATCCGTTCTACCAGAGTAAAGTTCACTCTGCAAATAGAGCAGATTTAGTTCCGCATTCATAGCACTCAGGTTTTTCGATAGCTATGTAGGCTTCGGATCGCAATTCACTGTGGAGTTCTGCCCGATATTATCAATGATTTAAGCTGCATCTCGTGTTGTTAATTAACTAGTCATTAAATGCCAAAGTTTCTTGTTTCTTGTTATGATATGGAACTCGTAAGGGTTGGCCGCGTCTTTGATTCAGAGTGATAAAACCTAAGTTTGCCAGATTCAACGATGAAATTTAGAAATTTTACATGGTTTTCGATGGAGCACCATCTGGCAACAACGGAAAAACCCGTTGGGGACCACTAACACACAGCCGTTCTTGGCAAAAACTTTATGAAAACTTTCGAATGTTACCAAATTTCCTCAGACGTAGTGTTGATTCTTTAGAAATTAAATGAAAAAAATGACATTTTTTAGAAATTTTATGAATCATTACCAGGTGTGACACACAAAGAAAAAAATCCTTGAAATTTTTAGATACTTTAACCGTCAAAACCATGCACACATTTTAGTAAACTATGATTTTATAGAAAGTAAGATCTGCGTTGTTAGCCGTTAGGAACTAAGTATGTAAATGGTGTTCATTTATTTCGTCACGAAACATGTCACAAAAAACAAAATCGCATCTCTGTGCACTGTAAAATTAGAGCATATTGAAACGACCATACGAACCTGATCGTTTAGCGTGGTGACACTGCACCTGAGGTGAAAGTGTCAACATTTCAGCATTGTCGCGTGTTTTCCCCTTTTATTTTTGTCAATTTAAAAATGTACACTGAGTCAATATTGTCGCTTGAATCAACTTCGATTTTATCCTTTGACCGTTAAAGATTAGTTCAAAATTGAAAGGGAGAGAGACCCTTTAATTCTGAAGGTGCTCTAACAACATTTGACTATTTATATTTTTTAGTTCAACGAAGTTAATTTTGAAAACTTAAAAGTTGAGTTGAATACATTTCAAGAAGGCATTGCTTTAAGGGGCTTAAAGTAATAATTCTTGAACGAATGGAGAATAATGCGTTGATTGCGAAGCTTAGAGAAAAGTAGAGAGAAAACTATAACATGTTTGACTGTTAGCGCATGTCGATGCACTTACACGTAAAGAGAAAAATATATTGTTAGTCAAAGTATTTGTTAGTTTTAGGCCAACCGTCCAAAGGCTGAAAATACTTATGTGTTCATTTTTTGTAGTCATTTGTACGATCTAGAAGTTACCGAACCATTGATTTAAATTCCAAAGAAATTTTAAAAATATACCTGACCTTATGTTTACTCATGCTTAAGTATGAAATGTGAAGAGCGGAAACTCCAAACTGCTCGAAGAACATCAAAAGTTGACTTTTCTGTACCATTGTATCTCTGTAATTTACTTCCCAAGGAATGTCGATTCTATCTCTACCACTAGGACCCAGAGTGAAACAAATAACCAAGGTTAAGTTCTTTAGTGAAAGATATGTAGAATTCTTCACAGCAGGCTGATTATTAAAATTGATAGACACAGTGTTAGACGAAGAAGACAAAGGGAAAATGAAGCAATTCTATTGGTGGAAACAAGCAGTTGAACGGACAAAGAAGGTAGATCATCGACCAAGTATCGGCAACCCACGGAAGACCCTCAGTCCATCATCGTCCGCTAACAGCCGGCCGTTTCAGCCAATAAATAAACTTAAACTTAAAATAAACTTTTTACTGCCGTAAGAGGGAGAAGTGTTCGACAGATTCGTTATCGTGGAACTATCTCATTATTTTCTAGTACTGATTTGTTTCTTTCATAATTTATGTAAAGGTGTTCTCTGAAAAAATATACAATGAATTATTTTCTAGTCAAATTTACGTGTTATGTTTGTAGTTTGATCCTGGCATTAGTTTCTTAAATTTGCGAGTCAGGAGTTGTTTGTAGGGTCAAAGCTCCAAAAGATTATTACAATAATCGCAGCTTAAATTTGATGCAAGTTGCACCGAAAATTCAAAAATAATGTTTGATGGTTTGACTCCTTCGAATAAAAACAGAACAATAGGTTAAGTAGGACCCTTACGATGTTTCTAAGATGAGCCAGAATTAGTGGTCCTTCATTACATAATGAAAATTTGTCTCACTTAGCTTTACCAGCGGACCGATCATTGAAATTGATAGACAAATCTATGGACAAAGAAAGCAAAAGGGATGGGCAGGTATCCTATCGGTGGAAGCAGGTGTTGAAATGGACAAAAGAGGTAGGTCTCATAAACTAACTAACTAACGGTAACCCAAGAGAGGCCCTGTAGTTAGTTCATAGTTTTCCCCCTTAGTCTATACCAACCATTCGTTTCATCCAATAAGCTCACTCCATGTTCCCTATGTCTTCTTTGTTTTTCGTTTTGGTCTTGTATTTTCAATTATCAGCCCGCAGTGATTTAATTGTAACCATAAGTGAAGCCACATAAGTCTTTAGCTATCCAATTCTGGTAAATCACTATACTTTAGAAGAAACTATCAAAGTTCAGATCAAAATATAAGTTTTTTGTGGGCTAAATTTGATTAATTTACTCGATTTTCGTGACGGGATTTTATTGCGGTTCTATGGCTGAGGCTGACAAGCCGAATTGTGTTTTTTTAGTATTAGCTGCAGTTTTGCAATTGCGCGAGAAGGAAGACGAAAGAACCCTGGACAAAAATGTAAATAAAGCCATTTATTAACACTTTCATTCGTGTTTCAGATTTTTATCAAGAGGCAGCCGACAAGCCGTACGCTTGTGACATTTGTGGACTCCGCTATAAACATAAATGCAACTTGTCCAGTCATAAACACACCCACAAAGGAAATACGAATTGCGAAATTTGTCATAAACACCTATCCACGATCGCAAATTTGACAAAGCACATGATCTTTGTCCATGGAATTAGACAAAATGCCCGTTAAATATTACTATCAAATAGTAACGTGTTAAATGTAAAGAAATAGATTTTTGCCTCATGGATAGGAATCGCACTTGCTACAGAACCGACTTATTTGTGTCTCTTGCAGAATATCCATGTACTTCGTTTTTTGCGATGTATAAGGTTTTGAGGTGTTACCTCGAATCCTAGATATTATTTCTAGTCTCAAAGATAGGTACTATATTTTCCTCAGACGTAATCTACAATAGATTTGCCAAAATATTCACGTTGTCATGAATATTTGTTTGGTTCATTTTACGCCGTGTTCTGGATGTTTCGGAGCATGTTTACTCGGGGTGATACTATCCGTGAGTTCTGACTTCAATTTTTCTTTTCAGGGGTGTAAAATTTACTTTCCATCGTTCCTCGCTTAATACTATGCCTACTATTACTTTCTCATATTAATTTTGTTTTCAATAGCGTTAAGTGTTATTCTGTTCTTAAAGCCTGAAATTCTTGGGGAGAATAACCTTCGTATGTATTTTCATGGTGTTTATTCTTCAATTTTTCCTTTTATCATATTTGTTTGCTGCTACGGTTGTTACCCCTCTTTGATTTCTATTACAGCTCTGTGATCCTTATCATCCTCTTTTCATTCCTTTCACGTCCCATGAACGCCCCCTTTCAACCATAATGAAATTTTTTTCAATGGCCGCCTAAGAGAAAATCAGTGTCTAAGAAGAATCAGAGGAGCTCTAAAGTTGACGGACAGTGATTTTTCTGTTTGGTGATTTTTCGAAATTTCTCCCCAAGTTACAGTTGCTAGTTATGTTACTAAAACATCTTGCGTCTAACTTTTCATTCAATGCGCCGTGATATTTAGGCAACAAGTCAATTTGGCCCCTAAAAATCGAGCTAGATGCGCCACCTGGTTTCTGAAACTCAGAGGTGAGTTTCGGACACTGGAAAGGACCCAAGTCATATTTTTAAACGCAACTAAGTGGTAATAATTCTAAGTTCAACCTTATATTCTCCCGTCAAGAAATGATGTTTGTACATTATTATTTTCTATTTTTCATTTTTATTTTTTCCTATAATCTCTAAATTCAGTCTCATAGAGGAGTGAAATCTTGTTCTGATTTGGCCGATAGGCCTGATAGGCCCAGTTCTATCACCTCTTGTTACGGGCTCATCCTCGAGTTAGAATTTGAGAAGCACTCACAGTACCTTGTCACATTTGAATCAGAAGTTCAAGCTCTTGGTTCCCAAATGTTCCACCAGAACCGCAATTTTCATGCGGACTGTGAAGTACAATATTCCACAGAATACCGTTGAAAGTTTGCTTCGACCAGAGTTCAAATTTAACCGTAATTGGTAGAACTGGCCCTGAAACTAGGTCCAAACGCTACCGAGAAAAGAGATTGGTAGAATTTACCATTCCTTCACGCTGTATTTCGCACACCGTGAATTCACAGTCGATTCTGCTAGAGAAATGGTTACCTGTACCAGTATTTAGTAACGCTTACCTTTCCTCTGGCAGAGTAGACTCTGAATTGACGCTGTGTGAAATACAGCGTGGAGGAATGGTAAATTCTACCAATCTTCTTTCTCGATGGGTCTCTTGTAAGGGTTCTGTATTATTTTATCTTTCTATGTTCTTATTTCTTTTTCTTTATCTTTCTTCTTTTTTTTCGTCTGTTATAGAGCAATTAAGACCATTAAAACCTCAACTAAAACCCTGTTTCGTCCGCGTTGAAGTACCGCAAATATGGGAATCATTTCAGCACTGCCATGTAAAGCGTCCACCCTGCGCCGAGGGTCTACAGAAACCGTGCAGTCCAGTCCCACCTGATGTCCCGGAGAATCCTATCACTAGTTCTCGTACCAAAAGTCAAGAGAAGCTGTGTACTCCCGTCCCCAAAGAAAACTCAGAGGCTTTTCCTTGTCATTTATGCAAGAAAACGTATTCTAGATACACTAGTCTACTCCAACACGTGAAGATGCACACCGGTGATACGAATTGTAAAATGTGTGGGAAGGTTATATCAACAGTCAATAATTTAAGAACGCACTTGTCTCTCGTCCACGGGTGTCCCATTGAAGGAAGGCATGGATCAAAAGAACTCACGCCGAATGTCACTCTGCTTGAATGCGATCATTGTAAAAAGGAGTACCATTCTCGCTCAGCTCTGCTCAGTCACATGAAAACACACACCGGTAAAACAAGCTGCAAAATTTGTGGGAAGACGTTATCGAGTGTTTTTAAGTTAAAGGAACACATCCTTTATATCCACAAACTTTCAAAGGAAGAGATCGATAAAATGATAGTCACTAGGCCTTATTAATTCAAGTGAACATGCCCGTAAAGGAGGAGTATCGATAAGATCCTTTTTAGTGGAACCTTTTTAGTTTAACACCGGAAACCCAACTATAATATATTATTTTATTCCTTATATCTCCATTTTGTCTTCATAATTTTCCACAGTTGTGAGTTCATATTTTGTTCATCGAATAGTTTAAGAATAGTTAGTTAGTAGAATAGTTTATTTTCAGCCATCGATGTGTCCAGTTTTAGTTCATACTTTCATATTTGACCTCTCTTGGTACATTTGAAGAACCCCATCGATTTTCAGTTTCAAGAAAGAATCGAACGGAAATGAGATGAATTAAAACTCGCATTTTTCATTTAATGGCTCTTCCCTTTTTTATGAAACTTTTTTCATATTTTCATTACTTTATTTTCCTTTCTAGACACCATGACCGTGTTTTTTATTGAAACAAATTTTCTTGAGATATTACTTTGATCCAAAGCGTCGTTTCTTTTCGAGAAAATTTGGTTCTTTTAAAGTTAAATCCGCGCGGATGCAACTTTAAGTCAGTTATTTTGAGTCACAGAAATGTTGTTTTGTTATCGTTAAGTTTAAGTTAAAGAATGATGACAAAACAACGCTTCTCTAACTGAAAAAAGTGACTCTTTGTCAAATCCGGATGAATTGAAGTAAATAAAAATCAAACTCTATCGACAAGAAAAAACGCTTCAAAATTGAAATAATACTTCTGGGAAAATTTTTCCAGTGTCATCAGTGACGGTCGCGTACACTATTGCGTATAATTCTTACTTTTCAATTTTTAGTTCTCGTTAGAAGTTTAATGTGTTTCTTTTTATTAGTATTCAGTACAGTCCTTTATTTATATATTTTGCCCATTCCAATTTTTGCCCTTTAAATTTTACTACCTTTAGTTTACTTTGTACCTACAAAGTTTGATTATCTGATGTCCCTCCGCATTATCGTAATGCTCAAAATTAGATGTTTTCTTGTTGCCGGATTTTTTACTTTAAATATGTTTTCTCAGAAACGTGATGAATTTTTCCAAAAATGCTATTTTATTTACCGTGCCTGCATTTGCCACCGTATTTACTTACTCATGCATGTATATCCTTTTCATATTTCTCTTGTAATCATTTAGCGCGAAAAGACATCCTAAACTTGGAACCTTCTTATTTTTGAATTCGCCAAGCTTTCATTTATTTCTTATTATAATTTACAGTCTACTTTGGTCATTCAATAAAGGAACTATTTTTCCAAAACGGGTTTTTTTTTAATGTTTGTCAAAATCAAGCTACTTACATGGTCCTCATTATTAATCGAAAGGATGCGAAACAGGCCACGAATTAATTTAGTTCAAAATACAAGCTTCGCCACTAATGCGCTCTTTCAAACGTTTACAGTATGAACCAGATGTATGTAGTTTTTCTTTGCTCCACATTAGGGCTTTTCTAGTGATATATTATATCCGAGGAAATATTTTTACAGTGGTGCCAGCCGCAGTGGGACGATTTAGTTCTCGTTTACACTTAAACAATTGTTAGGGAAAATTTCGCTCGTTCAGTTTAAGTGTTTCTCCAATATTAAAGTCGTCCATTGAAGAGATTTAACTGGAATTTTAGTAACTGCATTTCACGTTGACCAATTTTTTTAGGAGATAATGACATAAATTAACTTCGGTCAACGTAGTATAAATAAAATCTGGAATATGAATGGTATGCCTCCGAACGGAAGTTCAAATTCTATTGTTGCTTAGTTCTTCGTTTAAGTAGTAAAACATCCGAGGAAATCAGGCAACGTCTGGGCTTCGGCAAAATTGGCCAAATTCATCATTGAAAATCGTACTACATCTGACAATCTAGGAAATGCAGGAAAAACGGTGTTACCAACTTTGCAGAATCTCCTTTGCGGTTGCCACGGTCGCAACGGCATACTAGAATCGGGGAGAGTACAAAGTTGGATTCCATTTTTCTTCTCCTTTTTTTCTGCTTTTGCGCTCTTATTTAATGACAGGCCCAGTCATTTTCTCACGTTCTTTAATTTACTGTGAGTGAAGTAATTCTACTGTGAACTGGTGGTAATTTGACCTACCCGATGATGAAAAGAACTATTTAAAAGTGAAAAAAATCAAAAGTATCTTTTAAATTTATATTATTGTAATAATCACTAGTGTTCATACGATTTTGGTGATATATACTTTTTTAATCATGCTTTGCCCATAATTATCTTTGATAAAAACTATTTTCGCGCAGTACCTCACAGCATTAATATGTCCAAATATAAGGGGTGCCCTTCAATACATTCATCAAAACCTTCGGTTTTACTACCATGAATTTCAGCGTGCCATTACGGAAGTAGGATCGTTCCATTTGCTCTTTGTCTGCTTTGTCTATCACATTGTCTATCAATTTCAATAATGAGCCCGCAGGGTCAAATTAACTGAATTATAAAGAAAGGACGCAAGTCGCATTGTGGAAAATGATTAATTGGATTGCATTTTGCAAAAAGGAACCAAGAGCATTCCAACGTTGCTCGGATTGTGCAACATACATTCTTTGCAATAAAATTACTGAAATAATGAAAACAATCCAATTTACAAAGGTAACTTTCGGCTTGAATTCATAGTTAATCAAGAGTAAAGATAATACTTGTATTGATGATCGATCAGTTTATACTTGCAGGGCAAATAAAGTTGCACTATCTTAGCGACACTGGAATGCTCCTGGCTCCTTTTTGTAAAATGCAATTCAATAATTGTGATATTTGTCGAATCTGGCACCAATCGCTGTTTGGTCAATCTAGGAATGAAGAAGCATAGTCCTTATGATTTCTACGTTGATGTCTGCCTTAGATACTTTAAAAAAGTATAGGAAAAAGAAAACTACTCACATTTGAAAGACCCCAAAACTCTGTTCATCTACGCAGGCATGTTGAAAGAACGTTATTTAACGTCATACCGCATAGCTATCTTAAAAAATTTCTGCGAGAGCCTTAACTTAGGCAATGGAGGTAAAATATTACAAATTCCTGGTTTTCAAGTCGACGTGCTAAATTTTTATTTATTCTTCATATTAGAACCTAAGAACCAATCAGCATCTGAGGCGAATTAAGGTATAAATGAGCGCAATGATTATGATTACTACGTTGAAGTCTGCCTAAAATTTCTAAAATCACTTATCCTAGAACTTGAAAACCCCAATAACGTGTTCTTACACGTCGGTCCGTTGACAGAACGTCATTTAAAATAATACGGCGCGGATATCTTCGGAGGTATCTCTGAGAGCCCTGATCTCTACTTTTAAGATAATCTAATTTTCAAAATGAAATTATGAAACTGTATTTGAGGTGCTTGGAAGACAAGAGCATAAGTGCAGTTTTTGAAAAAATTGAGATACTAATATTTCAAGTAAAACTAGTCATAATGCAATGCATATGCTGTCAAGAATTCACTCCCCAATTCCAATTTTTAAGCATCGAAAAGTCAGTTTGAACTTTCCGCCGTAAGGATCCGTGTGATTTCGAATCTTTTAACACGTATTTCTCGACCTAACAAAAACTGCACTCATGCGCCTTGTCTTCCATGCCCCTCGTTTGTTGTCTACATTAGCATCAGTGTTCTGCCTTCCCCCTAAAATTTTAGGAGCCACCTCGGCCGGTAAACCTAATTTTCAGGAGCCATCTACTATTTTTTTTTATCCAAATTGAATTTTTGCATACGCTCTCGGGCTGCGCTGCGAACGGTGCGTATAGAGAGCACTTTATCACTACCGCTGTTCCCCCATTGAAATTTCCGATTCAATCTGTCAAATTTTTTAGGCGCCATGATGGCCCAGCCCCCCCCCCCAATATTTAGGCGCATTTGGCGCATGGCGCCCGGAGAAGGCAGAGCACTGATTAGCATCCAAAAGCCAATCCGTGAGAAATCTCAATGTTTTTCAAGCGAAGAAACATGAGCGTCTATAATGATCATTTTATGTGTCTGTTCAGATGGAAAAGAGGTTTTCAGCTGCTTCTGCGGAGCGACTTACAGCACACCCTCCAGTTTGAAGAGACACTCGCAGAGTCATTCGGGCGAAACCCTTTGTCGGATTTGCAACAAGAATCTTGGATACAGGGATAGTTACCGAATGCACATGATGAACAAACACTCGATCTTCGTTAAAAAATAGCATCTGTTTATTTTCAGTTTTCTTTATTTTTACATTAAAGCCTTCAGTACAAAATTGATTCTGCAGTCTTTCTTTCATCATCCTTGGCATAATTATCTAAGAATCTCTCAGAATCGCAAATATATTTTGCTTTTCACCAAAAATTGTTAATTTTGAAGGAAAATAATCGTGTGAATTTTAATACTGTACTAATATTGAGTATGGAAAGAGGAAGTTGCACGATTTTGAAAACACTGTAATTTCGTTGGCTTTTCTTTGCTGAATGCGATTCAAATATAAATTTTCAGTTTTTGATGTCAACGCTACCTAATACTTTGAAAAAAATTGAATTCAAACTTCATGCCATTTCCATTACCAATGATTTTACATAACCGTCTGGATTGAAGCCTTTCGAAGGGAAAATAATTAGCGCGAGCCAACTTCAGCAACACATTTCTCGAATTCCCCTTTTGTTGCTCCCCCATTTTTTATTGATTCCATAGAGTTAAATTTCGGAGTCTTTGAGATTTTTTTTACTCCTATGATGATGCAGACTTACAATTAGATAGCGGACTCATGAAAAGTTGCCTGATTTCCCGATAAAATTTGGATATCTTACATAGGTTTAAGGGAGGGAACATTGTTGATTTTGTAGCAGCATGTGGCAACAATGGACTCATGCCTAGTCTTTAATGCAGCTTCACATTCGCAATTATGTCATGTGATTATGATAAGAATTGACCGGTTATTTTTTATAATTCAAGGTGGACCCCGGAAAGCTTACGTTTGTTTCTGCGGTGCCGCCTACAAAACTCAGCCCAGCTTGTCGAGGCACAAACAAAGCCACACGGGTGAAACCTTCTGCTACATTTGTATGAAAAACCTCGCTTCCAAAGACAGTTACAGAATGCACATGATGAGCATCCATTCCACGAATATTCTCAAGTGACGTGTTCACAGCCTCATCTGAGAACGTCGAAGTCAAACCCTGCAGCGTCGAATCCAAATGGTATCACTCCATTCAAACCTATGGTTAACAATCGATTCTTTTCAGTACTGGCCCCTACGAAAATCGATTAATTTCCGAAGGTTTAAATTGAGAAGAAACGATGTTGCAACTTGCTGGATCTGTGTGTGCGAACACGTCCATTGTCTGCTCAACTCTTAAGCCCAGCATTCATTGGAATATTTATTGCAATAAGGAAGTACTATTTCTGGCACATTTCAGAAACAATGTTCATTGCCTAAAGTAGATTGGTGTTTTTATTGATAAGCTAGCAATAGTATTTGTAGTTCCTTATTGCAAAATGTAGTCAAATTGAAATTCGCTCGAGGTATTAAAATTATACTCACGATTTAGATTAAATATGGATAATGGCATTAATTGGAGTTGGTCCTATTTTTTAGTTGAAAAATTATAGTTTTAAGCATTGAAAATGACTACGAGACGTAAATGGATGCCCTTGTAAAACGTGTTGTATAAATGATTTCACTCACATTGTCAGTGGCTTTGCGATGTATCGTTTTATCTGTCATTTAAACCTATGGAAAAGGATCGATAAACAGGGTGTTCGCAACGACCACTTTAATAATCGATTCTTCACCATAGATACAAATAAGGAATTATCGATAATGAATAGAGAAAAAACGGTGTTGCCAACTTTTAAGAATCGCCCCTGCATCAAGCCGCTTCAAGTTTGAACCGAGAAAAAGAGGTTTGAAGTCGTATTCCTTCATAAGACTCACTATTGATAACAAAGTTTAACAAATCTTTTCACGTCCAAAATATTTTTCTTTTGGATTTTTCGACGGGAGACAATGTACAATTTGTTGAATTTTAAACTATTCCTAAATCATTGTTTTTCCAAAGTGCGACTGGAGGTGCTTCCGTTTAACTCTAATGGTTTATCAAGTAAAAATGAAAATGATTAAATTAAAATTGATTCGCTTCATCCACTACTCAGATGATATTTCGATAGGCTCCAAAAGATTGAACTGGCTTTTATTATTTAAATTTTTATTCAATTTTGTGCAATTTAGTGGTTGAAATCGTTCTCACAACATTCATTATGAAAAAGCTTGATTAGATGTGCAAAATTTGTACCTCTATGATGACTTCACAGTATTGAAAGATAACTGGACTGCACTTCGCAATTGGGAAGTACGATTTCTGGCTTCTCCGTAAAAACACTTACGTGCGCAGGGAAACTAATGACATGTACAATATTTCTGAAATGGGCCAGAAATTGTACTTTTCCTAATTGAAAAATATAGTCCAACTTAGACAAGCGAACCTTACAGTGCTGTGTCCGTCAGAAATAATGCTCAGGGGGAACCGGTTTCGAAAGTTAAGGGTCATCATTTATATTTAACGCAATTGTATCTCAAGTAAACAGGCATCAAGTTATAGATCAAATACTGAACAACCGGTTTCCCTTAAATTTTTTTAACAGAAATCAAAGTCTGATATATGTGCGCATATTTCACCCGTCTAATTTAGAAAAGAATGCATAGAATATCCCAAATTTTCTGCTCCCTTCGACTAATTCAGCGAGTCGATTGTTAAATCGTTATCGAATGAGTTTGATGGATGACTTTCCATCCTCTCAATGCTATAAATCGATCAAGGTCATTTGACAACGATTTAACAATCGACGCAGTGCAATGTTGTGGGTTCGGAAACTTTAAACATTAATGCAAAGGTTTCTGAGGATGTTTCATTTTTTTGGGAACACCTAATCACATCTAGAACATGCTAAAAATAAGAGCTGTACGCACACACGGTACTATATTTTTGGCTACGTATTGAAGTAAAACTTGCACTTTAGCAACATATTTTTGATGTCTCCATGTTCTTTCTCTTCCAGTATGTTCAGATGAATACTGAAGTATGCGCCTTACTTTTAAAAAAAAGTACTGCCACCAAATATTCCTGTTACCTCTTAATCACCTTTCACTTTTTTCGAGCCATTCATTTAGAATATCTCACTAAGATTACGCTTGAAGCAATTTGTGTGTATTCAATAAGTTAATCCGTCCATTCCAAACATCAGAGTACCCGCTAACCTAGTCCGTGTCTCATAATTCCATTCTTTGCAAAGTTATTAGCCCGAAAAATAGGATGAAAATCAAAACTAAATGCTACTTCAGCAGATTATTGTAACAAGTCCCTAAGTACCACAAGTCTTCCATGCATAATATGTCTTATCCGTAATGTAACTATATGTTCATTTACGTAGACTTTTGAAGAATGTAATTATGCCACTACTTATCCCCCAAAGAACTTGGTGCTAAGAACCGTGACATGGTGCACATTTATTAAACAGAATTCAGAGAGGGTTTTAACAATATTTCTGAATTCAGCTAGTGCATAAACAAGATGACTGCCGCATGAAGCTTTCAGTTTTCACTGTAGCATGTTAAATGAAGCCTCGCCTCTTTTTATGTACGGAACAAAATGAAAGCGCAGCCAATGAGCTAAACGCCTCTCTGAATTCGGCGCCAACCACAACACTTGGTTAATTTGACCATGTACATTATATAGCCCATCAAATCGCAAGTTAGTTGTGTCAAAGAACTGGGATTTTCAACCATTTTTTTCGCTGATGCCATAATTAGCGGGACTAGTTGAATCATCATTATTCTTTTTCGTGCATAAAAGAGCTACATAATTTTAGGAATTGGTCCGTTATTTTTATTTGAACACATTGATTTTATTTTATTTTGTGAAGTAGCGTTTCCTTTTTTGTTGCGCATATTTTTTTTATGAATTTGGTTAAAAATAAATCAGTATATCTTTGTTTTTTACATAGTTAGTGTTGTTTTTGAACGTTTTTAATTGAAATCAAGCAGTCTTTAGAAACACTCGATCAAATGATCAATAATATGAAGTATTGAGAAATTCCGCCGCAATTATTAAAAAAATGGGTCATGTAGCATCACGTCTGAGGTATTGGACTTCATGCTCACCCATGAATTATCCTTCCTCGCGTATTTCATTCAAGATCTTTGACTCCATGCTCACTTTACAATGAATGCATTTTTTTTTTTAAAATAATTAATTCTAGCATAAATTTTAAGAGTGTGGGGTATAGATATGCCCTTGTATGAGACAAGCATAGTGACCACAATACCAATACAATTTCGAAAAAACGTAGTGATGTCAACGTCCACTCCACCGTGCTCAGGAAGAACACCGTATGAATATTGGCGAGTCGGGAAATTCCTCCGAATGAAACAAGTATTTTTGAAGAAAGTTAAGCATATTTTCACTTGAAATTTTCATATGTTTTACATTAAGTAGCCAACAAAATTTTCCGAAATATTTGAAGAAAAACATTCACAACTTTCTCAACAAATTAGTTTTCTTTTAAAAAAAATAATTTGGCAACGCCTCCAGGTTCATACGGCGTTTATCCTTCACGCGGCAGCATAGTTAGAGGTATTTACAAACTGAGGTCTGGGGGTAAGAATTTCATCACACTTTTTCTGCAGTTTTTAATGAAATCGTTCTAATTTATTCTACCTTGTAGGTCGGAGCAGGAAATTCGCTTGTTTTTGCGGTAAGGCTTACACGTCGAAGCAAAATTTGGCGCACCATAAAAAAATCCATACCGGGGAGACGGAGTGTCCAGTTTGTCGCAGGCAGATGGCAACCAAACAAAGCCTTCAAAATCATATGTTGCTGATTCACGGGGAATTACTTTGAACCGGAATTTTCAATCCAAGTTCTGTCTCGAGTATATTCTGTTTTTAAAGCTCTTATTGACCTTTATTAAACCATTTTGACACCAGTGCTCCCATCTCCCGAAACTAGTACCGAATGGGCCTGTTGCAAACTTTTGCTAGAACAAAAATGAGAGTTGTGCCTTATACGTAATGTTTCAAAAATCACGATGAGCGCACCGGCAAACTCTAAAATGCATTCCGAACTTCATAATCTGCGTAAGAAATTAGCGTTTTTTCAAGCTTCCCGCTTCAAAATGGATACTACGGCACAGGCGAACATTTCGTTACAATGGAAAAAAAAAACACATTGGGTCTGGGGCCAGACTCTTGAAAACATTGACAAGAAAAAATACTCTTGATTCAATCGTTTTTTTGCTCGAATCAAAACGAAATCCGCTTAAATTAAGAGGCTTGATTCTTGGTTTAAGCTAAATACTGATTGAATCAAGAGTACTTTTTCTTGTCGATGTTTTTAAGAGTCTGGACTCTAGATCCAATGTGTGTTTTTTTTTTCGAGTGTAAGGCCTAGATACACACGGTGATTATTCGCCGCGAGTGAAAGACGAAAGCCAATGGAGAACCTTGAATTCGATCCATTGACGTCGATACATCGAAATCAAGGAACTCCATTGGCGCTCGTCTTTCACTCGCGGCGATTAATCACCGTGTGTATCAAGGCCTTTAGAGGAGTCGTACCATTCAATGCCTGCTCAACATGGCCGACGCTTCCGCGCGCAAGTTGAGGAAAGCACGAGGTCAATCAAGGCGAGAAAAATGTGAATGCAAACACGCCGATTGTTATCATAGGTGGTAAGAATCGTCTTCCCGTCACATGTGTTTTGGCGGATTAGCGTCGGCTATGTTGAATATTGCGTAGTATCCTTGTGAGCAGGGGTTGGATGGAATGACTCCTCTAACGTAATGTTCACCTGTGCCGTGGTATCGTTTTTGAGACGGAAGGCTCGAAAAAACGCAAATTTTGCAAGTTGTGAAGAATGAGTGCATTTCGGACTTTGCTGATGCGCTCATCGTGATTTTTGAGACATTTTCAATGTGTAACAACTCTTATTTTTGCCCCAGCAAAAGTTTGCGCTAGGCCCATTTACCGGAATCTTCTCGGAACTTTCGAAAAAGTCTAATAAGAATCCCGGAATTTTTGACGGACATGGAATTTTGGAGGAATAGATAAATTTACAACAACAACGGAGTTTTCGTATCGATGCGGTTTTAATGTTCAAATTTCTAATTTATCTCACTTAGGTAAGAAAAGAAAATTCGTATGCTTTTGTGGCAAAGAATATACCTCGAGGCAAAATTTGGCGCACCACAGGAAAATCCACACCGGTGAGACGGAATGTCCAGTATGCAGAAAGCACCTGTCAACGACCCACAATCTCCGAAAGCACTTGTTACTTATCCATGGACAATACCTTTAATCCGTCAAACAATCAGCCTTCGCACCAAAAATATGTTTTTTCTTCGTTTCACATCGAGAACTCAGGGGTCTAATTGGACTGCATTTTGCAATTTGGAACCATAAATTCTGGCTCATCTGGAAAAACACTTATGTGCATTAGGAAATTAATGGCAAATACGTTGTTTTTAAACCGGGCCAGAATTTATAGTTCCAAATTGCAAAATGCAGTCCAATTCATTGTCGTTTCCGTAAGCAGTTTCTTTTCTTTTTAGGTCCAGCCCGTATGATTTAAATCGTGATCAAGGGAGGTTTAAGGAGATCCCTAGCAAACATAAAAATGACAATATTAAAGAATTTAGAGTAAAGATCAATTTGGTCTCGTCATTTTTTAGGGGGAGTTTTTTGGATTGGGCCGGGATGGCTACCGCCACCTAGAACAGGACAACTTCGTAAATAAATCACAATCGGATATAGAAATGATTTGTCACGGTATAAAATAAAAAGAATACGGAAGATAAAATTGTGTGATTTTGACAACCTTAAAGGTACAGTGAAAAAAAAAGTAAAGGAACATCTACTATAAGTCTCCTTGATCTTTTACACAGTGATACAATTTAGTGAAAATAACCAGAATAATGGCAGTATTTATCAGAACTCTGGTGATACTTAGCATAATATGGTAAATTCTGCCATAGAGTCTGGTGTTTATTGCCATACTCGTATCACTGTGTCAGAGTATAGTAAAATCTACTAATATTCTTTTTCAGTGTAAGTATACGGACCTAGGTACCTTAAAGTATTTAAAATGTGCATAGTTTTTTCGTTTCTACTTTAATTTTTTTCAGACCAACCATTGAAAATATCTTGCAAGGGTCTATTCCCAAAGTAATTTTGTCGGGGGTTTTCTTACAAGATTCGTTAAATGTGTCAATTGTATGATCCTAAAAAAATTTGTTAAGAATCCCCCTTAACCTTCCTTTATCAACCTGTAAACCATCCGGGGCCTCACATGGAAAGGAGCTGTTATAGGAAATACCATGAATATTGAATGTGGCCTTGGATTTCAAGTTTATCTTGCCATAGTACGAAAAGAGAGTTCTTCTTTTCTTTGCAGAATTTATTATTCGAATATGGCGACAGGGGGTGTTAAATGAGATAAGGGAGTGTCAAGTCCCTGATGGATTGTGGGAAAACCGAGTTTAGTGGCGATTAGGCGTCGCAAAGGGCCAGAGAGCGTTATAATAGCGACTCGTGTATGTATGTATTTATTATTCGAAGAAAATTTTGGCTTATGTTAGAAAGCACATACTTGCAAGATAGATTACGAGTTTTGCAGTAAGCAAAATACACATAAAATCTTCGAAGGCACATTTTAATGATGAATGGCGTATGGCCATAGACCGCAGTAAGTTTAAGTATGTGACAATACCTACCTTAGACGCTTAATTACATTTGTTTACTGTGATGAAATTTCATGTTTATCTTGTCCAAATTACAATTTGTTACTAAAAAACTAATGCGTTAATTTTTTTCTCTCGTAATTCGGCAAGCCCGAAATTAATATGGTCACCAAGCACATTTTCCAAGAATTAAATTCCTGTCATCAGTATCAACCTTGACTATTGGATCCTCAAGTGTATCACGGAAAGTTTGTAACTGAATTGAAGTAGAAACGTTCAAATTTCAAATTTTGCCCCCCTTTCTAAGCTTTCTGTTCTCCTCTAATATAAAAAACCCTGGGTTTTATGTTCAAATTCTGATCACAGCGGGCTCATTTAGAGACTATCACCTGTCGATAACCTCAAAAATCATCGTTTTCCGAAGGAAATAGCTTATGACAAAAGGTTCTACGTCGTAACGTGGTTTCGCTTTTTGGACATCGATATGTATATTTTATTGAAAAAGCAGAGAGTTATAAAAATTCAAGGTGGATTCCTGGTCTCCGACGTAAAAAGCCTAGTTGCTGACCGTCGCAATAAATTAACTAACTAATATAATCGTATCTTATCTTCTTCAGGCACGAGAAAAACATTCGCTCGTTTTTGTGGCAAACGCTATGGTTCGAAGAGAAGTTTAAGTTATCATGCTAAGAGCCACACCGGAGAGACAAATTGTCCAATTTGCGGCAAGCAGCTTTCAAGGACTCATTATCTCCGAAGACACATTCAGATGGTCCATGGCCAAACATCGTAAAAAATATCACCTTTGATTCCATATGCATGTTCATCCCTTCTCCGTTTACATGTTCCTTTGGATTTGTTGTTGATACTAACATTTTTGAAAGAAATGAAAATTAAATTTTTGAGATGAAAAAGGCAAAGCGTTAATTTTTACAATTTATCTTACTCAGGTGCCGAAAGAAAATTCGCTTGTTTTTGCGGCAACCGCTATAGTTCGAAACGAAGTTTGGCGGCCCACAGAGAGATCCATACGGGAGGAACGGATTGTCCCATTTGTGGCAGACAACTATCAACGAAACAAAACCTTCACAAGCACATCCAATTGACGCATCGTTTATATAAGAAAAATGCAGCCTTACTGTAGCCCGGAGCCCAGCGAAGTTAGTAACCTGCACGAATCGTATGAAGAACACGCTGAGGAGTGTTTAAATTGTCACGGAAGTTCTGAAATGAATCAGTAAATAATTTTTCTCAATCGAGGAACACGAGGGAAATTTGAACGGGTTCCTTGAAGAGCGAAACCGGCAAATTTTCAGAAATTTTGTTTTTCGACGGAATACTATTCTTTGAGGGTTTGAAAGGGTTACTTGAAGAACGGTGTAACCGTGAAATTTTTAATATTTTTTTTCGACGGAGTACTATTCTTTGAGGGTTTGAACGGGTTACTTGAAGTACAGTGTAACCACCAAATTTTCAGAATTTTTTTTCGACAGAATACTATTCTTTGGGGGTTTGAAAGGGTTACTTGAAGAACAGCGTAACCGTCAAATTTTCAGAATGTTTTTTTTTTTGACGGAATACTATTCTTTGAGGGTGGAACCATCTAACTACCTACCGATCCAACTGAAATTTCTCTTTCACCGTATTTCTAACACTTGAAGATTTGCCACAGTGGAAAAGGGCGCAAGTGCCAAGCCACTTTTCCCAGGGCAGGTTACTTTCTAATGATAAAAAACGTGAAGAAGGGCACAAACTATAATCGTTAGCGAACACGACTGCTAGTTGACTGTCATAACATTTACTACCTACGACCGTTACTAACATTACTACCTAAAATGTTAGTACCAAGCGATTTTTTGGAAGAGGGACGTATCCTCGAACATTTTATTTCTTGTCCAATGCTGCGACCCTCTTTTTGCTCGCTTTGTCGACAACTGCTATAGTGTAAAACCAAGTCTGGTGGTCCTCAGAAAGATCCATACGGGAGAAACGCATTGTCAAATTTGCGGCAGAAAATTTGCAAGGAAACGAAATTTTCAAGTGCACATCGTAATGGTGCATGGTTTATCCGTATAAACTGCCCTTTTCGTGAAAATATGTCCGATTATTTATCGTAAATGTTGTGAAATTACTAAAATATAGAATACAAAATGCTAGCTCAGATTCCAGGCTTAAATGTTTTTAATTTATCCCATCCCAGGTACAAAAAGAAAGTTTGCTTGTTTCTGTGGGAGCCTCTACAGTTCGAAGCAGAGTTTGGCGCACCATAGAAAGAGCCACACTGGAGAGACGGATTGTCCAATTTGCGGCAGACATCTATCAACAAAAGCCAATCTTCAAATGCACATTATAATGGTGCATAAGAGGAGTTCGTAAACTCCCTAATCAATCGGCACTAGGAAGGAGGGAGCCACGCCCCGTGATCACTTCGCGGTCCAGCCTTTCGGAGCGCCTCGCGCCTCAGGCGGTCTGCGTTACAGTCATTACACGTTACTCTTACATTATAATTTTATATCATAAAGTATGATACGTCTTGTAACTCTGCCGTATTATCCAAAGTGAGCAGTCATGCCCAAAGTTTCGACGTAGAGTTTCTTCCAAAATTCATTCAATACAGATTATATCAAACGACTGGGCCTGCTAAAGCAACATCCGTTTTATTTACGAGTATTCAAAACGAGACCTGTGAGGATTCAGTAAGTGCGCAAAAATCGACGTTGTTTCAGACATAACACTAGCAAACGCACATCATGCCACGAGAGAGCTACTGAGTAAAATGATACATTCAATGATACATGAAAAAATCTCTGCCAATTCTTAACCTTAAAATTTGTTTGAAGTCCAAAGCGTCACCTTGCAAGCATGGAAAACGTGACGATGGCTGACGAACTATACTGCCGTGCTAAGGAAAAACGCCGTATGAACCATCAGGTGTCGCCAAATTTCCTCCGATATAACACGAATTTCCCTGTGAAATTATGAATTTTTTCCTTTCGATTTTTCAGATAATTTTGTACGCACTTCCACCTTAAGTTCCTGAAAATTTCAAGGGAAAATATTCATAAATTTCCTGAAAAATAAACATTTTATCGAAGGAAATGTGGCAACTCTCGAATGTGCATACGGCGTTCTTCCTTAGCACGGCAGAATACCACGTAACTGACAACTTTGGCAAAAATAAGTCAGCGTCTTTGCGGCATTCTTCGGTGTCAAATACGCAAGTCAACAATTTTCGTTTTTTCCAATTCCACACGGAAGCGCTTCAATGATGCTATGATGTATGAAAAAATTGCAAATGTTGCCTTAAAATTACAAAAATGGCGAAGTTTTCTCTTCGTTCTGCAAAATCGTCAGTTTGCAGATAGGCTGTAATGTCGTTAGCCATGACATTACTGCTCTCTTGGCTAACATGAGATGAATCTCTCAGTTCACCATCAATGGCATTTACTGCTCTCTCGGCTAACATGAAATGAATCTCTCAGTTCAGAAACAACCCATCTCGGAAAAATGAAATTTTTCATGGGATGACAAAAACAGCGTAATAATCAGGAAAGGAGAGTTTCTACGGAAAAAATGAAGAATGTAAGAACCCGAGTTGGGTAATTTTAGAACCGATCCCGAGAGATTCAAATAAAAAACGCCGTTTCCGTACAGTCGAAACTAAAATTTTTCATTTTTCAATCGTCCGAACAATTTCTGATAGTCTTGCATGAATATTGGAAATTTATTGAAAAACGAAGGATTAGTTAAGGAAAGGAAAACTTTTTTATACTTACTGCTCTTTTCGTTAATACGGCAGAATTTACGGTGAAATATGTTGAATTACTAAAATATTAGTCCGATAAGAACCAATATTTTTTTCAGATAAGAGGCTTTAATGTTAATGATTTATTCCACCCCAGGTACACAAGGAAAATTCGCTTGTTTCTGTGGCATGCTCTACCGGTCGAAGGCAAGTTTGGCGCACCATAGGAAGAGTCATACTGGAGAAACGGACTGTCAAATTTGTGGCAAAAAGCTATCGACGATAGGAAGTCTTCACAAGCATGAAATAGTAGTACACGGTTCACGAGTGAGAAGCGCTTCCTGAATAAAATGCGATTGATCGATTGAGCTATGGAGGAGGATCGATAAACATGGTGTTCGCAACGGACACCTGAATAATCGATCCTTTACCGTAGCTTTAAATGGGGAATTATCGATAATCCTTCATTGACGCTTCGCCACTGAATGAGAAATAAGTCTGACCCTTCATGAAGCACCTATCTTGGCAGGCAAAACATATCACACCAGTCCAAGAAAATGTTAGTTCAGATTTGAGACTTTAATGTTTGTAATTTATCTCATCCTAGGTGGAAAAAAGAGATTCGCTTGCTTCTGCGGCAGCCTGTATAGTTCGAAGCAGAGTTTGGCGCACCACAAAAAAATCCATACCGGAGAAACGGATTGTAAAATCTGCGGCAAGCAGCTAGCAGCGAAACAAAGTCTTCAAAGGCACATTATATTAGTACATGGCCTACGAGAATGAATCGATTTTTTTTGTTTTCATTTCCAACGCTTTTCTTTCTTAAATTATACCTCTCTCATGTCGTCGCTTCTCTGACGTGATGGCGTATCTCAATGTCCACTTGAGCCCTGTTGCCCATATAACTCCATGCTTTCCAGGGCTCATCAGAGGCGGATCCAGCAATTTGGCAACACCGAATTCCCTCCATTTAAACCTATGTTAAACAATCGATTCTTGTTGGAGCATCTGGCCCCTCCAAGAATCGATACATTTCTATAGGTTTAAATGGAGAAAAGCAATGTTGCCAATTTGCTGGATCCGCCGATGGGCTCATGAAGAAATACAGATACGCCCTGACGTCAGAGGGGCGACGAAGTGACCGAGCTTTAAACAAACATTCTTGAGGAGAATATCATCAGTACTGTCAGCATTTTATTCATTGGATGCACATTGAGGTCGGTCACAGTGGCGATTTTCCAAGTTGGCAATACTGTTTTTCCTCCATTTAAATTCATTGGAAATATCGCTTTTTGGTGAAAAAGGCTGCTTCGCCAATCGATTGTTTTGCATATATTTAAATGAAGTGAAAACAGTGTTGCGAAATCTGAAGAATCGCCACTGGTCGCACATTAGCATTATATAGTTTTCATCGCAAAGTTAACGTTTCAAAACAAAGACCTAATCCAAGTCTATTGTAACCCTCGTATTCTGTGTCTTATAACCTTGCAATGGGTCCTTAGACAAGGCCTGGGCTAGAAAAAAATGTAATATTTTAAAATCTTACGTAGAAAATTATACACATCACGGAAAGTTCGGAAAGAAATTCGTGCACTAAATATATGTATTAACAATTATTCTCAATGTAGATCAAATGGAAGTTGGATTACACAACTGACGTCATTTGTAATTTTGCCAGTAAACCGATGTTAAGTGTAATCATTTAAATCTTGTTTAGGAGTTGATTGGACCGCGTGAGGCAAAAAGGAACCAAGCCACATCAGCTATTGCCAAATTTAATCGAGCAATTCAATTTTTCACAGGGAAACGGTTGTGTGAATTTTTGTGCAAATTTTAGTGAATTTTCTGCATAGTACCGAGAAATTCCTTAAAATTTTCAAAGGAATCCGTACCTACGTTCTCCTGTAAAATTGAAATTGCTCAGTTGGGTTTGGCAATAGCTCACGTCCTGTTGTGTGATAATTGTTATCCTCGTGAAATTTTTTTGAGAAAAAATATCGTCTCCATCTAATCATCTCCGCTTTGTGATTTATTTCATCCCTTGTCTGGAGACGACCTAACCATAATCGGATTATTTAAATCAAAACGAACTATGTCCATTCTGACATGAGCTCAGGAATACATAAGAGTACACGCATGATAGAACGCATGTTACAATGTACATAGCTCCTTTTGATTTGAGTACATTAAATTGTTTGAAAGAGGTCCATTGTGTTAGTTCAAGTCACTTATTTACGGATTTACATGTGTATTCTTACTGCCTATATCTCCCGGTTATAATTTTATGCTGATTTTGGAGCGACTGTGTTTGGATTGAGTAAAGGAAACAGTCACATCTACATGCGGTGTTTCAAAATCTCACATGTAATTTTTTGGAGGGGAACCAGCCAACATTTTCGTTTAAAATTTTATGGAAATAATCTGTTTCAGGGGAAAGAAGAATGTCAACATTAATTTCCTTCCAAAATTCAAAATAGGAGATGAGATTTTGAAACGCCTTACATATATGTGGCTGCTTTGTTTACCTTAATCATATCCTATTCAAATATCACTTTTCATTTTACATGTATGCATTTCTTACATTTTACGTATCTCTAATTTTATCATAGTCTTTTGAAGCCCATATAATATATAGTACACACGATTGATTATAAAAAGCGCTCGTATGTACCCAAAACAATAGAAAAGGCATACTTGCATTTAATTTTGATCGTTTTGTGTTTGCGTGTCTTTATTATACTTTAATCAAATTTTGTAATTTTCTTTTAAAGAGGAGAGGTAATCTTTCCGACTATTCCGTGCAGTATGTTTCTTTAGTTAAAAAAAGCCTCAATTGGTTCCAAAATTTACAGAGCACAATTTCAAACACACCGGAAAAAAAATAATGATCAAAAACATCTAGTCAACCTAAATGTACTCAAATCACACGAATGCCGTATTGCCAAATCTTTGATATTTTTAGATCTATTAAAAACTTTATCTATTGATTTAATAAAGTCTGTGAAGAGAAAGGAAAGACTTAAGACGTGAGAAAGACGTCGAGTCATAAAGTTTCGTTTCGTGATGTATGTTGTGAATATTTTTTGTCGATATTGCCTCATGTTTTACTTTGTGTTATTTTTAAATAAAAGTTCATCCCATCTTTCCCTCCCGTAGAACTATCGTAGCATTTTATTTATTTTCCTTGCCAACCTCAATGTGCGAAAGAGGGTTATGCAAAACGGCCAAAAAGTGACCCCGCGGGGATTGTACGAAACTTTGTGGGATGATTGTATAGGTCATTTTGGGCCTGCGTCTGGCTGCTTTTAGGCGAAAACCGCAGGGAAACAGCGTTGCCATTTTTTAAAGTCGTAACCTTCAAACACCCATAACTTTCGCAAAAATGCAGTTACAGAGCTCGTATTTATGGCAAAAAATGCGGAAAATTTTGTTCTATCGACCAACGCTAAGGAAATTTTTATTTGAGTCCACTGTTGCCACGTTTTGGTCATTTTTTTAATTTTCATATTGATTAAAAATCACGTTATCGCCTAAAAGTGTGTTTGCAGTTGGTGGGGATTGAATAAAAACCTGTCGGAATTATTGTTCGTTCAATGCCGCATCCATTGATATGTTATACTTTTCTGAGAGGCTTAGGGAATCCAAGTTACAGCGATTTAAAAATTCGGCAACACGCCCGACGCCCGATTTTGACGCTCGTTAAGGTACGTTTCGCGACCCCGTGTTGAAGGAGAACGCCTAGATAAAACAAAATTCGAAGAGCCAGTTCATGTTTTACGCTTTTTTGAAACTTTCACGTCATTTTTAGAAATTCAAGTAGCGGCGGTGTTGCCGGTCTTCGATATTGTATCGAGATCAAGATCGATGGATCTAGGTCCCTTTCCAAAACTAATCATCAGACCGCTCGGGTGATTCGGTAGCCTTAAATTTCGATACCTCGTTATTGTCGGACACCAGTGCCGTTGCAAAGAGATAGAAGAAACCATCGATTCGATAAATCGACAATTCCAACTACAGAATAAGGCTGGACGTGATTTAATGAGTGATACATTTTTTTTGTGATTGCGGCGGCGGTTTCCTTGAAAACTGGCAACCCCGCCTCTACGCGAATTCCGACGGAAATTAGGCGACGTTGTTAACATCATGTCGCAAATGGTCAGTTTAGGATAAACTATGTAGCTAGACGTGATTAAATGAGTACTACTTTCAATTGTGATCGCAGCGGTGGTTTTCATTGAAAACCGGCAGCACCGCCGCTACTTGAATTTCTAAAAATGACGTGAAAGTTTCAAAAAAGCGTAAAACATGAACTGGCTCTTCGAATTTTGTTTTATCTAGGCGTTCTCCTTCAACACGGGGTCGCGAAACGTACCTTAACGAGCGTCAAAATCGGGCGTCGGGCGTGTTGCCGAATTTTTAAATCGCTGTAACTTGGATTCCCTAAGCCTCTCAGAAAAGTATAACATATCAATGGATGCGGCATTGAACGAACAATAATTCCGACAGGTTTTTATTCAATCCCCACCAACTGCAAACACACTTTTAGGCGATAACGTGATTTTTAATCAATATGAAAATTAAAAAAATGACCAAAACGTGGCAACAGTGGACTCAAATAAAAATTTCCTTAGCGTTGGTCGATAGAACAAAATTTTCCGCATTTTTTGCCATAAATACGAGCTCTGTAACTGCATTTTTGCGAAAGTTATGGGTGTTTGAAGGTTACGACTTTAAAAAATGGCAACGCTGTTTCCCTGCGGTTTTCGCCTAAAAGCAGCCAGACGCAGGCCCAAAATGACCTATACAATCATCCCACAAAGTTTCGTACAATCCCCGCGGGGTCACTTTTTGGCCGTTTTGCATAACCCTCTTTACTAAGAGGTTCGGAACTACTTTTACACTCGAACCTCGGAGCTGCCATGGATCGTATTCGATAGCGGTTTTATGAATTGTTTGGTTCAAGACAGTAGAACACAACCTCAAACAAAAATTACAGGATCCGAATTAGAAAAGTTGAAAAAGAGGAAATTCCCAACAATTTCACTTTTCATCGTCCCGTAGTTCTCATAAGAATAAAAAGTCAATCAAGAAAACCCGTTCCCACAGTTCGATTGATTCTTGAGGCAATATTTATATGTTGAACCAATCGATATTGATACTATCACAGAGATAATAGGTGCGCCGGTTATTTGAGTCAGTTATTTGAGGTTTGTAATCTACCTGAGAATTCTGCAACCGTGAATGAGCATCGGGTTAGGGTTAATACACATCCAGCATCCAGGCTCTCAAATTTTCAGGGATTAAAGCCGAGTTGCGTCTCATGTTTCTGCAAATCCACTCGTCATCTCCCTTCAGCCAAAGTATCACAAGCGCCATGCGACGTTTAAAAAATTCCGCTGACTTTTTATTTTCTTACATAGAGATTGTTGGTTGAATCTGTTCGAAAATGTCACTGAATTTCATCGGCAGGACAAATAAAATTCAGTGAAATTTTCGGACAGCTTCGTTGAACGATTCCTCTGTAAAAAAATTAAATGGCGGCGGAAATGTTTAAACGTCGCATGGCGCTTGTGATAGTTCGGCCGGAAGGTGACGTCGTCAGCTCCTTGAAAGTGTGTCGCCACCACCGGGATTCGAACCCGAGACCTATTGGTCTAGGTAGAGTAAAAATAAAAAAATAGTAGTTCCTAACTGCGAATGGAGAATTTGCAGGTGTCTGAAATTTGATGAATTTTATGTGAAAGTGGAAACTCCTGAGTGAACTGCGGGGCGATTATTGAAATGATATCGACTCTATGTCGCCGCTTTGTCGTGTCGCGCCATCGACTGAGAGCCACTCAGTCGATGGCGCGACACGACAAAGCGGCGACGTATACAGGCGATATCATTTCAATAATCGCCCCGCAGATTGTGACCCGGAGGATACCCTCGGTCAAAAAATTGAGAATTTTTGAAGGAGATAGATATATGACAAAATGATCTAACCTGCTAAAATACATGTGTTTAAATGGGAAATGCCGCCAGATGACGTCACTAGGCGGTGCATTTCCTCTTTTTTAAATCAATTTTTAGACTATTTCCCATTACAGAAAAAAATTACAAAAATACTGCGAAATCAGCTCTTTAGGCACTCTCGGATGTGTGAAACAATAAAAAATTTGCGTGCAAATTCTCCATTGTTATCACCAAGTCCTTCCAGCCTTTTTAAGAACGAGTCGCTAATAACGATACCTTTTCGACAGATGCAGACCGAGCCTTCGTCGAGTACACGATCGAGCTCCTGCACAACTACTCGCGGACGAAGCGGGGGGAAACCGCCGCGGACCGGAAGAAACGAGCCAAGCTGGAGAAGGACCGCATGAGCCACACGCTCCAGGAGCCCTGCAACAACTGCCGTAAGCGCTGCACGGAGCGGATCAGCGAGGAGCAGCGGGAGCTCATCAACGAGGCCTTCTGGTCCCTGCCCACGGAGGAGGAACGCAGGTTCTTCGTCTTCCACTCCTGCGAGAGGATCAGCATCAAGCGGCGGAGGAGCCGGCTCATGCTCCCCATCCGCAAGGAGAAAACCATCAAGTACTTCTTCTGCAACGAGGACGGGCAGAAAGTCGAGGTCTGCATGGTCTTCTACCTGACTACTCTCGGCTACAACAGGAAGAACGACTCCATCATCAGGAACACCTTCCTCACCCCCGAGGGCAACCTCAAGCCGAAGCCGAGTATGAGGGGCAAAGCCTCGCCCGCGAATAAGATCCCGAGGGACGTGATCAAGGCGCACATCGAGAGGTTCCTCCCGCGGGAGGAAGACGGGACGCTGACCAAGTGCCTCCCGCCCGAGATGAAGATCACGGCCATGTTCGCGCATTTCAAACGGATTCATCCCGAGCACGAGAAGATCTCGTACGAGCTGTACAGGCGGGTCATCCGGGAGGAGAAGATCTCGTATTCGACGGCTAGTCATGAAATAGGGGAGCCCGAGGGCTTCTACGGCCACCAGGAGTACCAGGACGATGAGGATCCAGTCACCTGTGAGCCGATTTTGTATCTGGTCTAACCGCTCAACTATGAAATGGACCGAGTTTAACAGAAAGGAACCAAGCCACATCAGCTATTGCCGAATTTAACTGGGCAATTTAATTTTTTACGAGAGAACGTTTGTGCGGGTTCCTTTAAAAATTTTAAGGAATTTGCTTTGTATTACGGAGAATATTCACTGAAATTTGCACAAAAATCCGCACAGCCATTTTCATAAATAAGAATAAATTGCCCAGCTAAATTTGGCAATAGCTGATGTGGCTTGGTTCCTTTCTGTTTAACGCGGTCCAAATAGAGTCCCTTTATACTGAGAGTCAAGACAACACCCCCTCATGGAGTCACAAACGGGAATGAAGATTACAGAAATTGAGCGTTTTTTGTAATCTTTGATCGACCCATTCTCAAATTCCTCCCTCCGTTCCTTCTCTCATTCCGTTTGTTCCTTGCCGAATCCGTAATTCCCCGGTCCATTGCAGATTATAATCTTTGCAATCGGTGAAAATGTAATCTTTATTCCCGTTTGTGACACTGTGAAGGCCTAAAATGCGGGAACCAATCAGAAATAGATTCACGTTGTCTTGACTCTCAGTATAAAGGGACTCTACTATGAAATGGATTACATTTGGACCGAGTTTAACAGAAAGGAACCAAGCCACATCAGCGATTGCCAAGTTTAACTGGGCAATTAAATTTTTTACGAGAGAACGGTTGTCCGGATTTCTTTGGAAATTTTAAGGAACTTGCTTCCCACCACGGAGAATTTTCACTGAAATTTGCGCGAAAACCCGCACAACCGTTTTCATGTAAAAAATTTAATTGCCCGATTAAATTTGGCAATAACTGATGTGGCTTGGTTCCTTTCTGTTTAACGCGGTCCATTCAGCACAGGCTGGCAAACTTCCACGAAATTTGAAATCATGAAACAGGAGTGCAAATTGTTCTCGGCCAAATTGCGGACATATGTCTTAAAAATTACGGAGGCTGAGTTTTTTGGTTTTTTTGTTTGTTTGTTTTTTACGTTTTAAAGGTAAATTAGCGCGTTAATTAGCCTTGTATTTTTCTACATAAATTAAATTTACGAAGGTATTAAGAAATAAAGTAACGCTGGATGATGGAAATCATCGAGTAGAACAGGAATTTTAAAATTCTATGTCTTTTGTTTGTCAGAATTCTTTTGTGCCTGGTCATAAAAGTTTTTTAACCAATTATTTAATAGGTTTTTTTTTAAACCTTCTTTTCGCGAAAATTTTGAGTACGTTCCAAAGATTTAACGAATACATCGTGCTGTAAAGTGTTAAGGAGAGCATTTTATTTAAACAAGATAAATTTTTCCAAAGAAACATTAAAAAGTAATGATGTCAGTCGTGAAGAGATGATCCATTCACAGAGAAAGAAAGAGTACCAAACTCCGTCCTGCGCATATGGTTAATAATGCATTCTTTTTCTTTGCATTCTAATTTTACAACTAAAGTGTAAGCATTATAATAAAATTTAAAAAAATACGTTTCAAAGAGTCTGTGCCTTATAGTGCCGCTAAAGACCCCTAGCACTTGAGCTGGTTTTCAATATCTTCTCTTTCTCTGTAGATCGCTAAAACTATCCCTCACCAGTGCGAATATTTTATCTCTTATGTTTTAAAGTCCTGGTTCAAAGTGTTTTCTGTGATCCAACTCCGATCTGTACGATCGAATCCCCTCCCGAAGAAATTGAATCAGATAATTCTGTTATGGTCTACCGATGTAGCTAGAAAAAAAATAATTCTAAATTTATATTATGCCTAGCATCCTCAGGTATAATTGAGCAAAATACCTCGTTCCGTCTAAAACTCGAATGCTCGATACCTTTAATTATAATTTTGTCATGCACTACCTATTCCTTAAGAAATGTTGTCCTCATGTTATTTGCATAAAAGCAATTAGATACTAAATTATGTTCTCTTGTTGTAATTGTTGTGTTAGCGTTTATATTGATAAAGAATTTAATTAAAAATAATTGAAAAATCTTTCCATGGAGGTTTTTTTTTCCTTCTCTGAAATCCCGTAGAACCAAACGAACATTTTTGGATAACAGAGATCATGTTGATGAAATTTGGAAATATGTACATCGGAACCAGTGGCAATTATTTGCAAGTCGGTAAAATTGCTTTTCCTCCTTTTGAATCCATTAAAAATATCGATTCAGATGAGGTACCGATCGCTTTGCATGTATTTAAATGGATGAAAAACAGTTTTGTCACAAAGAAAAGAAACGAGAAGACAAAAATCTTGCGTTAACTCTGCCAAAAACAGGAGAGACGCACTCGGGCCTCGTTTTTTTAATTTCCCTCCCGAATCTCAGATACACGTCATTGGCAGCATAGAGCGAAGCATTGATGAGAGTTCATGCCTCGCGCCATAGCGCCTTCAATTTTGTAGATGCAGCACGGACATCTGTCAAGCACGAATAGTTGTATCTCTGCGCCGTCGTCAACGCGTATCCTTACCATTGCTCTATCTCCATCTTGTGTCGGATCCGATTGTCTTATTTGTAGTAGTGCTTGGGCATCTAAGGATTGATTGTCATCCGCGCTTCGTAAATTCGTTGTTTTACAAACATTTTCATATGAAAAAAAGTCCAAAAATATTTACATTGAACAGAGTTTTGTAAAGTCTCCTGAAATAGAAAAAAAAGGAGAAGCGCTCTGAAGTTTTTATGTTTGATTATTAAAATGGACAAATATGTTCTAAAACAGTGGCAATAAATTCCTTTAGGTAGCACAGCCCGTTTTTTTATCGGAAACTCTGATTCCGATTTTCAATGGCTTACATTGTGCGGTTCCAGGACATTTTGTCAACGATTTTATTGCCGCACACCTTTTTTGTCCAGTAGTTCACGCCCACACGTAAAATAAGCAACGGTGACTTGGTCCAAGCGTTATATTTTAGTCGGTATGTAAAATTATATTGACAATATGGAAATGAGAAATTGAGAGAGAAGGAGGTGTTGCTATGGTTGCTCATTTTCTAAATGAAATGTTATTACTTTCTCCTTTTGAATCATCTTTTTAAATTGTTATTGGTGAATATTTGGTTTTATATCTATCCTTAAAATATTCAATGTACAATATACCTTATATGTATATGTATAGGTACTCTTTTTAATTTATTCTGTTTATTCTTTACGAAATTATTACTTCATTTTGAAAAAAATCTATATTTTTAAAACGTGACAAATATTTGTAAACATTTTCCAAGCGACATTAATCTCAATAAGTCGCAGTTGTGCCGACAGAAACTACAAAAATGAATAAAAGAGGAAAAAAACCAAGAAGTACACAATCTTTAGTTTTAATTCATTTGTACATCGATCTTATAGAGTCAAATACGTCAAATTTTGAGCGTTTGGTTGCGCGTACACCTCGCTACAGCACAATAAAAGCACATAATGTAAAAGAAAACAATTAAAGTGCTTTGGAAATCATTAAATTTGACACGGAACCACCAAGTTTTAAAAATCCTACGTTATATTATTATTCTTCTTTGATAAATTGATACACATTTTTTCCCCATCAATTTAAATGAGAATAATCAATGCAGATTGTGCAAACATTTCAAAATCATGAGTTAAAAAACGCTGACTATGAGAGTATAAATATTAAAGCAGAACAGAGCGGAGTGGCGTGCTGCCAGCGCAAGAGGCTCACTGGCGCCTACAAACCCAAGTGGATACTTCACGCATTGCACAATGCTTGAAGTATCCACTTAGGTTTGTAGGCGCCAATGCGCGATTCGCGCTGGCCGCCCGCCCACCCTGAAGCAACTATTTCACAACAGAGGTGTTGCACAGTTTTATTCGAAATTGAATGTATTAAGAATGACAGACATCCTTTAAAAGTACAGATCTTTCCTCGCAAAATAAATCAAGATACTTATCGTACTTTGGAAAAATATAAAAGCCTGGACTCTCAGGATAGCGTGGGATATCCCCTCCATTTTGGCCTCAACTTGAGAGCTTTTTTTGAGCTTGGGAGTTGATTTCAGAAAAAACCAGTGGCACCACCGTGTTTCTCGCAAACTTTTACTTTAGAATCAATAGTCAAATCGCAAATTCCTCACGCATGCAACATCTCCATTATCTGCACGGGGAAACTAATAGTATATAGGTTGTTTCCAGAATCTTTCGCTGAAAGATCCTGGAAACCACCACAATATGGACGGTGACTTCACCGCTAATAGTTTCTTTTGGCCATTCATGAAATACGTAACGCTCTAGGAAGGCCCCCCGGCCCCCGGGGCCTGAGTCCGCGTTACAGGTGCGTTACTTGGGGGTAGTGAAGTGGGGCGTTCAGAATGCGTTACGTAACGTTAGAATGGGTCGTGTAGTGCCGATTTGTCGAAAATCTAAGTTGGAACATCGTCGCTAAAGTTTCACAAGTGCCATGCGATGTTTCAAAATTTCCGCCGCCATTTTATTTTTCTACAGAGAAATTGTTGGTTGAATCTTCTTGAAAATTTCACTGAATTTTAACAGCAGCTCAAAGAAAATTCACTGACATTTTTCACAGCTTCGTTGAACAATTTCTCTGTAAGAAAATAAAATGGCGGCGGAAATTTTTAAACGTCGCATGGGGCATGGGATACTTTGGACGGTAGGTGACGATATCTCAAAACGTTCAAAAAGGGGGGGGGGTGACAAAGTCGTACGTAATATTTGAAATGGGGTGTAGATCTTTGCCTCGAGAAGGGGAGGAGTAAAAAATCCGATTTTCAGCTTTACGTATTTTATGGACGGCCCCTTATTGGTTATTTTATTTTTCCAGTTGATTCGTATATGATAGAGAGAAACGGGAAATTCGAATGCGCTCTCTGCGGCGCCTCATTCAAGCACGGGTATAGTCTCCGGAAACACATGAAGGCCCACACCGGCGAAACTTTTTGTCACCTTTGCAGTAAGAACTACTCCAACAAACAGAACTTCCAAATGCACCAACTCCTCGTCCACGGCATCAAAAGAAAACTCTGAACTATCATTAAGATGTTCGGAGACTCAAGGACCATCTTTTTAAGGTGAATTCAAGCTTCGTTTAAAAGAAAAGAATATTTTGCTGAATATTTGGATCGGGCCATTAAAGATCGGAATGTGCAAGGCAGGAAAGCTATCGCGATGCTAAATGGGGTTCTCTGGGACCAGAGTATCTCCAAGGAGACCAAAAGGAAAATTTACAACGTCATCGTGAAGAGTATCGTAACTTACGGGAGTGAGGTCTGGCAACTCAAGAAAAGAACTGAAGACATGCTTAGGGCAACTGAGATGGACTTTTGGCGGAGGTCTGCTGGCATCTCAAGAAGAGAGCGTATCCGCAATGTAAAAGTACGCGAGATCATGGGTGTAGAGAAGGACATCGTGCACGATATCAGGTCCAAGCAGTTGGTCTGGTATGGACATGTGCGAAGGATGGCAGACGACCGGTTGCCCAAGCAGGTCTTCGATTGGGTTCCTCCCGGAAGGCGACGGCGTGGACGTCCTGTGAAAGGTTGGCGACAAGGGGTGGAGGAGGAGATCAGAAGGTGCCAATTGCCTGATGATCTCTGGGAGGATAGGGGGCAATGGCGATTGGGCGTCGCAGAGCGCGAGGCGGCGCTATAAAAGCGACTTTATGTATGTATGTATTTTGCACTTGAGGAGTTTTTGATGGACCGAAAAGTTGGGAACTCGGAAATTTTACGACGACCCGGAAAAAAGGGGGAAAGTAAGGTAATTTGAGGGAAAAATCAGGGTATTATGCTGTGCTAAGGAAGAACGCCGTATGAACATTCGAGAGTTGCCGAATTTACTTCGATAAAATGATTATTTTTGAGGGAAGTTATGAATATTTTTCCTTGAAATTTTCAGAATTTTTAGGTGAAATGTGAAATTGCGAACATTATTATCTGAAAAATTGGGAGGAAAATAGTCATAAGTTTATCAGGAAACTCGCGTTTTATGAAAGGAAATTCGGCAACGCCTGAAGGTTCATACGGCGTTTATCCTTAGCACGGCAGAATTCGCGAGTAAAGTGTCGTCGCACGTTGGATCGAGTCAGTGAGAGAGGTCGGTCAGAATTTGGAAACTTTAAAAAGGTATAACTCCATTTTGAAAAACTTTGAGGTTTTAAAAGTGGTTCTTTTGGTTTCCTCGTGAAATTTTCTTCTGGAAGCACATCTTAAAATTTGACATGTGATGAAATAAACATAAAAATGTGCAGTTTCTGTTAAAAATTTCATGTCCAACCTCTCTGATTGACTCGGTCCATTGTGTGTCGGTTCGGCATCTTCAGCCATTCGAGAGAGCGCGAACTACCTCTGCGGGCTGCGGGCTAAGAATTGAAATTGACGGACAAAGCTATAGACTTAGAAGACAAAGGGAAAATGGAGCGATCCTATTGGTGGGAGCCGGTGGTTGCCATGCACGAAGGAGGTGAGTAATAGACTAACTAACGATAACCCACGAGAAACCCTCTAGTTTGTCCATTATCTTTCCCCCTTAGTTTACAGCAACTACCTGTTTCAACCAATAGAATCCTTCCATTTTCCAAGAGTAAATATTGAAGTATAAAAAAGGAAGAGAGGAAAAAAAACAGATATGCATTTGAAATCTAATGTTATATACGTTGTTTCTAAACTGAGCCAGGAATTGTAGACCCTTATTTGGACCGAGTTTAACAGAAAGGAACCAAGCCACATCAGCTATTGCCAAGTTTAACTGAGCAATTATTTTTTTTACGAGAGAACGTTTGTTCGAATTTCTTTGAAAATTTCAAGGAATTTGCTTCGTACCATGGAGAATTTTCACTGAAATTTGCACGAAAATCCGCACAACCGTTTTCATGTAAAAAATTAAATTGCCCAGTTAAATTTGGCAATAGCTGATGTGGCTTGGTTCCTTTCTGTTTAACGCGGTCCATTTCAAAATGCAGGCCAAATAATGCCGAAGCATACCAAGATGCAAAACCCTGGAAAGGACACCGAGTCAGTCACAGCTTCAAACCTTTTTTTAAGAAAGATGGACCCAAAAACAAAGGTGTGTGATGGTCGTCAAAATAATGCTTGGATTCACCGCAAATCAAGAAACAGTTTTCAAGCAACACAATGTAAAAATAATCAACAATGGACCACTAGACAAGGTACGAATTTTAGCACTCTGATACATGATCCGTAACCAAAATTTCACGTAGAGCACGATGCGCACAATGAAAATTATCGAAATCAACTCCTCACAACGATATTTAATGATTCTTGATGTGTGAATTCAAACCACCCGCTCATGAAAACTCAATGCTCTACGTGATTCACATCGCGCGCTAAACGTTATCATGACAGTCTCTGCGCGATGTAAAAATCTGGCAACCTCAATCTTGACGCTTTGGCTCAGCTATAGCAAATTGCCTATAGTTCGAACAACACATGGTGGGAAATGAATATTGCTCGATTAAGAAACTTGCTGAGACCGTTGTCGTGCGCGATTTGATTCACGTAGAGCTTTGAGTTTCTTGTGAGCGGCAGTTCAAATTCCTCGTAACCAATGTGAAATGAAAAGGTTAATATCTTCGTTAGGAGTTGTTTTCAGTAATTTTCGTTGCGCGAATCGTGTTCTACGTGAAATTTTGGTTAAGAAACATGTACCGGAATGCTTAAATTCGTACCTTGTCTAGTGATCCATTTCGCGTGTGAAAACGATTCTCACCCCTTCTCCGTCGTTGAATCGAAAAACGGAAGGAAAGTTGAAAATCTAGAACGTGCGTTGAAGGACGTGTAATTTTGCTTTGGGGTTTCAGTCTCATACGTTTTTTTATCGGTTTCCTCAGGTGAATACAAGGTCGGTGCTCGCGAGAAATTCCAGTGCAGTATTTGTGGATCTTCTTACACCAAAAACTACGACCTTCGGAAACACATGAAATCTCACACAGGCGAGACGTTCTGTCACATTTGCCAGAGGAGCTACTCAAACGTACAGAACTACCGTATGCACATGCTATTTGTCCATAAGATCGGAACAGGGCGACAAACGTAACGCTGATCAATAAAGCTATTCCTTGGAAGTTCTCTCAAGTATTCCATATTTTCAAAACGAAGCGTTACGTGTCTTTGAATAAGCCGCCAAATGTAATTTCTGTTCTTTTTACACCATAATCCCCTGGAAATTATCCAATCCTTGAAGTACATGACTAATTACAGACAACACACAACTTTAATTTTTCTTTTCTTCTCTTTTTGAAAGCATTTTCCCTCTCTTTGTTCTTTTTATTTTTAAAGTATTGTTTGTTTAAATTATATTGTTTTTTCTTCATAAAGTCAGTATATGTTTTGGCTTCAGTACATGAATTTTTGAAGCACATGACTAATTATTACCAATGATCTACATATACAAGTTTATTGTTTATTTTCACTTTATGTTTCAGAAGCTCATTGTTGTTTGTTTAAATTCGATTGTTTTTTCCTTTTATATTCAGTATATTTTTTGGCTTCAGTTCAGTCATTTATCTTCAAGCGACACACCGTAGTACAATTAAACGGTTTAATAATGATTGAATATCATCTTTGTGTAATATTTCATGCATCGTAATTTTATATTGCATAAGAAAACCTCTTCCACAACTTCCAGAGGCCAATTTGATTCAATACAATGTAATTCTATAAAAAATCTAAGTATTTATCATTATTTTAATCTTAAGAATGCCTGGAGGGCAGATGTTGGTTTCAACCGTTGGGGGTTGACGAAAGTTAATACTCGTCGATTCCCCGAGAATCTGGTTTTTTTGGAAATTAATTTTTGGGGATTTACTGGTCTTAGTGCAGACTCTTTTTTAAAAATATGTTTGCGGTCGCGAGTCTCATGAGACAGAAACTAACATCGAAAACCCATAAATGATGAATCGGATTCATTGGACTTTATTTTTTCGCCTACTCAGAAGTTTTTCTCGAAATGAAGTTCGGTGATTTGCGTAAGAGACCCCAATGGACCACTAGACAAGTTATGATTTTAAGCATTCTGATATGAGAGAACAATTATGCCAACTTCCTCAACCCTGGCTGAAGGCTGCGCATTCGTGCAAATCAGACCTACTGCAAGTAGTTCAGCGCAATCAAAGCAAATATTGATTCTGCAAAATCACAATGTTAAGCGACGTTGCAACGATGCTACCCAGAACGGCTCACCAAAATCCCACGGTTTTACCTGCAGCACAGGCTGCACAGGCATCCTTATGGTTGCAGTCAGTCGTGTTGATGCAGAAAGTCAGAGCGCCTTCAATTTTTTGCGTATGCAACGCCGACATCCCTCCGGCACGAATAGTTGCATCCAGACGCCGTCGTTAAGAAAGCCGAAGCGTGTTCAATACTGCCGTGCTGAGGAAGAACGCCGAATGAGCTTTCAGGCGTTGCCAAATTTCCTTTGATAATACACGAATTTTCTGATCAACTTATGAATATTTTTCCTCTACTTTTTCAGATAATTTCACTCGCAATTATGAATATTTTTCCTCTACTTTTTCAGATAATTTCACTCGCAATTTCAGCTAAAGTTCCTGAAAATTTCAAGGAAAAATATTCATAACACTCATTAATAATGAACATTTCATAGAAGGAAATTTGGCATCTCTCGAATGTTCATACAGCGTTTTTCCATAGCACGGCAGAATAGTATTTCCCGCCCTGATATCAATTCGAGTAAAAATTTTGGTTGGTTTCCTTTTAAAAAATTTATATAGGAGATGATACTTCGAAATATAGATGTGACTTCTCTGCAGTGGCGAAGGGTAAAATGATTGACTATCGATTATCCCACGTTTGAAACCATCATGGTGAATAATTGATCCCTGGTCATCGATCTTTTTTCATAGGTTTAAATGGCAGATCAATCGATATATTGCTAACACGCCACGCCTCTGCTTTTGCCCCACTCTACCGAGTTAAGCCTCGTCACGTCTCATCCCATTTTCCCATGGTGACCTTCTCCGAAAATGTTCTTTTTGTCTGTGGTCTCATGTCTCTTTTCGTTCTTTCATCAGGGTTGTTGATGATAGAGAGAAACGGAAAATTTCAATGTAACATTTGCAGTGCCGCATATACGCAGAAGGGTAACCTCCGCAAACATCTGGTCTCTCACACCGGCGAAACTATCTGTCATATTTGCCAGAAGAGCTTTTCCACCAAGGGAAACCTTGGACAGCATCTACTGTATGTCCATAGAGTAGCTCCTAACAAGAAAACTCGATAACCCAGTGTGCGTGAATCTACTATTACTTGATATTATTGACTGAACTACATTTTGCGACGAGGAACTACTACTTCTGGCTCAACTTCGAAATGACATTCGTGACAGTTTGATTCCCCGTGCAGATCGATGACTTGTATGAACTGCCCAGAAGAAGTAGTTTCTTAATGCAGAGAGTAGTCCAATTGCTCACTTATTCAAAATGCGTGGATAATTTTTACTTTTCATATCCGCTTGATACCATTTTAAATTCTAATGATAGTCGAGAAAAGGCCTCTAGGCTTGTAAGGGTATTTTTGTAGAGAACGGCTCTTCTGATTCCTCACATATCCGATAGAATATTTTCTCAACATTTTATCGAAAAATGGTTTAAAATCAAGCGCAAAACTCCCACCAGAGGAAATCTTCAAATACACATCATTCGTGTCCATGACAAAGGAAGTAAAGAGGTCCGCAAAGGTTAGTTCGACAGCGGTATCAACAGAAGTCCACAAATGATAATACATTTAAGCTTAAACTGATGGTAGTAGTTTCTGGCTTACTGAACGGTTGAGGAATTCAATCGCTCCTCGAAGTTCAAAATACATGCTCGTAACGAATGTTTTCCAATGTCTTTAACAATTAAATATTATTTTGAAGTCTAAATATTTTGAATTTTTTGGCAGGTGCATAGCCAGTGTCACGCGATCAAACCGTGCGATCAGTACAATATGTGGGCCACGTGCTGTGATTGGCTTATTCGATGACTTGGACCAATTACAGCATTTGACGTTGATATATTGATAGCACGGTTTTATCGTGTGAGAGTAGCTTATACTTAGTGCTAGGATTTAGGTTTATACATATGTCGCAACATATCAGTTAAGTCTAACACATTAATTATTATTTTCTAAATCTCAGTAAAGTTAAGTAAGTTTTTCGTAAACCCTACTGTTGTTCTGTTAGACGTTACTTTTTATTATGTTGAATAATTTTCTTAAAGACTATATAAAGTGCACTCCCAAGTGTTTTTTACTTGGAATTTCTATCAATAAAATTCACTTTTCAATTACTTGGAAACATTTGACCAAAAATAATTTTCCTATGCACCTAAGTGTATATTAAAATGCATGGAGCCACGATACGTCCAAAAAGAGGCAACCTATTCCTGTAAATCAAAAGTCTAAATCCATCCTGTGGGCGCATAATCGAAATTTTCAGGCAGCCGGACAACACGAGTACATCGATATGCGAACTACTGCATGGCACACGCAAGCAGCAGAACCAATCCATAAATTAAGGAACGCTTTAGGGGGCGGGGGGGGCGAGTAAAGCTTTACGCTTTGTGGTTTTTACATGTCAACGGATAGTGGCCTACGTCACCAAAGCGTCACGAGGGGGGAGGGGGGTGGGGGTAAAAATGTCGTAAATGTGTGTTCCATAATTTATGAACGCTGCCTAGGGCTTTGTCTTGTCTTCTCTTGATAAGGTTTCGATACCTATCCATATTAGAAGTGTTCTTCGCGGAAAAGACGGAACCAATCGAATCACTTTTCCTCCTGTACGTGTAATATGCTCGAGTACATAAAATTTGTCTGAAGTGTCAGCACCTTGTTCGTCTTTTCTACTATCGACTCGCCCAACCGTGCCCCGTGCTTTTTAAAGAGCGTTTTCACTGTTAATATTGGACGTAGAAAGTTAATGATTGAACGGATATCATTCCTTATTGCTAATCCAATTAATTATTTATCTTAATCCATAAGCTGAAATGGACGCATTTACATCAAAAGGAACTAAATCCATTGTGCAGTAGGCCCTGCTGTGCATGATTTTTTATAGATCTTAGGGTTCATGCCCAAACGGACATAGTCCCTTTTGATTTAAATACGTCTAAATGTTCAAAAGGCCCTGAGACTAGCGTAACTAACCGATTTCAGTCTTCATTAATATTTCTAACTCGGTACATCTGTTTATTTTTTCAGTCACCTCGTACATGCTCGAGGTTAACGGCAAATTCGTATGCGGTCATTGCGGGGCCACCTACTCACACAAGAACAACCTTCGAAATCATATGAAAGCGCATACGGGCGAGACTTTATGTCACATTTGTCGCAAGACATTTTCCAACAAACAGGGTCTTCGCAAGCATCTTCTCTTCGTACATCAAATCACGTAGCCAATTAATTGAATATGAACATCTGATTTTGTTTCCTACCTCGTAAACCACATTTCGTCGTTCCTCTGGCGAAAGGGCGTATCTCAATTTGTACATGAGCCCTGTGCTTCGGATACGTCAATGCTTTTCGGGGATCATGTAAAAAACGCTCATGTGTAGGGATACGTCCTTACGTTACGATTTAATCCAGGCGAAGATAATCAGAACTGATTTGAAAGCAACTCAAACTGTTGTAAAATTTTAAAACCCATGAATCTCTTTCTGAAAAATACTTTTCGGCATTTTAAAAAGCGGCGAATATCGAAATTGTTTCTATTTTATTTTTTCTTGTTTTGTTTTTTCCCCGTAGCAATTTCTACTCCGTAACAGGGCCTTTTACGCCGTTTTTCTGGGGACTTGCTTATTTCATCAATGATTGACTAAAATGATTGATCAGACAACTCTTTCGTAAGGTTTGTTTTGGTTCAAGGCTGGTTTGCGTTATACAGCATTGCAAATATTATATTCTCTAGCAGTTATTTAGTCCGCGGCGGGTTTTCGTAATATAACATACCAAAGGTTACATTCTCGAGCAGTATAAGATGCCTGTTTGTGCTGAAAAGGTAAACTTTGCACCGCTGCATCTCCAAAACCAGCTCTGAACTCCAGCAAAAAATTATCGAAGTCGGGCTCCCGAAAAAAAATCGCGCCTGGTGAGGTTTTTCCCTGTCTCTTTTGAGAGGTTTAATTTATTGGTAACTTACGCCGCTCATTTGCAATTTTAGGTGAATTTGCTGAGATTTCGGCAGCCATGAGGCCTTTTGTTTGTCCAATTTGTAATGCGGTTTACAAGCACAGTCGCAACCTAACCTCCCACATGAAAGTCCACACTGGAGAAACTGGATGCCCTTACTGCAGAAAGAGATTCTCCAACAAGGGTAATCTACAACAGCACATGATTTTAGTGCACAAACATTCATTTTCTTAATTGGCCAATTTTTAATCGGCTCGTATAAATCAGTGCGTAAATGCCCCGAAGATTTCATTTTTCTCTTTCAGTTCCGCGCATTGGCGGATCCAAGAAGTTGGCAACATTGGTTTCTTTCCATTTAAACCTATTGAAATGTATCGATTCTTGGAGGGGCCCGGTGCTCCGACAAGAATCGATTATTCAACACAGGTTTAAATAGAGGAAAGCTGGTGTTGCCAACCTCTCGGATCCGGATCTGGAATCCCGATAGCCATTCATCAGAAGACTATGATCCTGATAGTTTGTTACTGTTTTCCTGTATTAATCATTTCTGCCATTTTCAGAATTTTTTATATAATTTTGACTTCAAAATCGAATTCTTGTCTATATGCTCTAGTTTTTAAGTAAATAATGGCTCTTTTCTTTTATTTTAAAAATTCTCTGGAACTACTAAAGTCCACCTCCTACTGTCTTATTTTTTCGTCCTATTATTATAAAGAAAGTAATTACGTTCCTTCATTGCATCCTGTGGCGACCTATTATATTATATTATTTATGTATTTTCCTTCTTTCTGAAAATGTTACTCCGAACTTTATTCTTCCTTACGTTATTCCACTGCCTTTTAATGGCAAGGACCGATTTTGGAATTGAACTGAAAGGAATCGTCATCATATTAGTTTGTCTTGCTGAAGAATTGTCTACAAATTTTTGTTCATATTGTGTTTAAAATTTTTTTCTTTATAGAAGTCTATTTTATTTTTAAGCTATGTTCATCCCTTGTAAAGGGGAGGGGTCGCCTCCTGTTAGGGAAACGCTTTTCGATCTTTATTTTAAACATTTTGTTCCTCATAAGTATTTATTTAACCACCCCATGTTCGGTCTGCAGCATGTTCATGTCTACTCATTCCGATCACTTTCATGAAAGTGTATGCTATTATGTCAATCATTTAGTTGTTCTCCTATTTTATAAACATTTTTAATGAAAATTTGATAAACCCCGGAACCCGTTTTGACGTGTCAAAATTGACTCTGATAGATGACCCCAGTCAAACCTACTGCCCAACTGAATTTCTAATTTCGTAATGTTCTCTCATGCTCTGTTCTTTTAACAGAGAACTAAACTTTTAAGCGCCCCCAAAACTTTAAATTTCTGTCAATTTGTCCTAGATTGTGAAGATTTCATTCACAAAATTTCAAGTTTTAGCGTTGCTAAATTTTCTATGAAAAGAATAAAACACCGGAGAAAAATAGGCAACGTTTGGCGCGGTTATGTTGCTTTGGATAACATCCATCCAATCATAACACACTTTTGCCACTATTAAGAATCCAGACATGAAAAAGGTTGCATAATTATTTTAAATTCTTCTTAGGTTTCTACGCACTCATTCCTAAATTCATGCTTTAATTATTCGTAAAAACACCTTGAAACTCTTGTAGCAGCAGAGATATATAGACTTTTCATCGCAGAAATAGTACGTAAAGCTCGCTAAAAATTCAATATTTTGGTTTTCTCCGCTCTCAGTGTCAGTGTCTCTGAAACTATTTTCCACCGAAATTTTTCCGCGATGAAAAAAAGGAGTCGGTAATTATAATTTTCGAATTTAGTCGGATGTCTTCATATGAAAACTTTACGTAACTCAAATTTGTAATTGCAGTCATAACGAACAAAAAATTCCGGATTTTGACCGAAGCCGTCCGTCAGAATCTATTTTGATTATTAGAAACGGGATTTTACTTTACTTACTCATCTCTGATTCTCTAATTGCCTTCTTTTCTTCGTTGTCAGTCATTTTATTTAGTGCATTACTGTTCCAAATCCATCTAAAGTGTCAAATGTACTTAAAACTATGTCTTAAATCAAAATGATTTTTACAAGCTCTCACCGAGAACTGTAATTTGTACTCTCATAATTTATTAAATTTAAACGATTTTGAACTGGTCTTGTTGAAACTTTTTTTCTTTTAGTTTTCCTGCAGCCTCGTTCCGTCCTAAGATTTTTGCCAGAATGAGTTAAAGTTACTTGTGCATGCTTTTTTTTGCTTCCTGGCCTGCAGCTGCAGACTGTATGACTCTTGAATGTCACAAAAACCATCAGCAGAAAAATGATAAAAAGTGATAAAGTTCCTGTAATATCTGATGCTATGAATTTGAAGTATTCATTCAAAAAATTCTTTAGAAAAGATGAGGTACTTTTCTTCTTCAAGAGGAATCGGTCAAATTTTTTAAATACTGCACTTAGCTGTACCTAATCCAGAAATGTTTCCAGAAAACGAAAATCAGAGCCTTCCAAAGTCATATAAAGCTCAAAGTAACATAGTCTTGCGTGCGTGAACTACGTATCCAATGAACTACACATCCGTCCAAGACAAACCTACAGTAATACTAGTATAAATACAGTGATATCTAATGATGAATACATCGTCACAAAAACCTTAAATACATGTAGTTTGTTTGCATGAACCGCAGCCGACTGATAAAGTGTTGTATACACGTATCTTTATACTGAGAAAACATTATGATTAAATTTACCTTTTTGTTAGTGTTCCACACAAACCCTTACTGAATTGTTGGTGTAGTCTAGAATTGTATTTAGCAAATGGGTGGTTTTTATACGAGGATTAAGAAGAAACAAGTGGTTAGAAATGAAAACAAAATAATATGAACTATGCAAAACGATAATCCGGGTATCGGAACTTGGCTGTTTTGAAAACGCCTTCAAATGCGGCGCGATACCTCACGCATTCCGGAGAGTTCAAATAGTTGTATCATTGAGCCGTAAGAATGTGACGGAAGATTACAATTGAAATAGCCTTCATGCACGCTGGCCTTTTCGATTTCCTGCGACATTTTTGCAGTGGTGATTGCGTAGCTTAAGTGCGCTCCAGCTAGAATATTATCAAATTTTTACCATTGAGTGATAATCTTGAAAATGAAGAAGTCCTTGCTCAAGGATATTTGAGGGGCTTGGACGACTAGGCGCCCAAGTGCAGTTTTTGAAAAAATTAAGATATTTATGATATCCAGTAACACTATAATCTGTGAAAAATTTGCTCCCTAATTTCAACTTTTAAGTATCAAATAGTCAGTTTGAACTTTTTTCTCGCCATAAGGATGTATGTATCGCAGGCAATTAACAATCGCCGGCTAATTGTAATCTGTTTGTGTTAAATAAACAAATTCGTACACGTCAAAGTAAAAAACCGAGATAGAAGGTAGTGATTATCATTCTTTGAATTCAAACAAACGTTTTTTCCTTTCTTCCTGAATGCATTCGCGAGTTCGTGTTGTGTAATCAAGTATCTGCGTTAGGTTTGGTTTGGTTAAGCAACTAAACTAACCTCCTGGCAAAGCGGAGAGTATCGCTGGATTTGAAGGCGTTCCAAGCTGAGGTCGTGCCTTGAAGTTCCTCACTAAAGAAACCTTTACTATATCGATGTTATTTTAATTGCGATTTGACGAGTTAACAAGTGCGGAGCTTGCAAATTGCCGAGGACTGCTGACTGCCTGCGACATATGTAATTTTGGAACTTCAAACACGTATTTCTTAAAATTTCAAATATTGCACTTATGCGCCTAGTCCTCCAAGTCCCTCACTTTAACTCAGCCTCTTTGATAAATCACTTTTTCAGTATAATACCTTGAAAAGTTAGAGAATTCTAAAATTCAAAGGAACCTGTCACTCTGACGTGATAAAATGATAAAGCCTCGCCGCATACAGGAACGCCATTCTCTCAGGGTTGCCACAGTCAGGGAAAACCGGGAAATATCAGGGAATTTGATTTTCCAAATTCTGTGGCAACCCTGATTCTCTGCTTTTCGTGCAGTTTTATAATTTTTGACAAAACATTTCTTTGTTGCAGAGATTTACGAGACTTTCAACCGGGAAAGTCAGAAGTACGAATGCAGTCTTTGCGGTGCCGCGTACTCTTGCAAGTACGATTTAAGAAAACACCGGATAGCACATACCGGGGAGACATACTGTAAAATGTGTAAAAAGAACTACTCGAACAAGCATAACTACAACGTTCACAAACTCCTGAAACACGGGCTACCAAAAACCAAATAGTTTCAGATAAATGTTATCGATCTCATCATTATGACCTCCTAGAACCCACCCCCCCCCCCCCCAAGTTTTTGGATCTCCAGTTTTCTTGTGATTTGCAGAAAACCCCCCTCCCCCATGAAAAATGTCTGGCTACTACTGCATTATAATATCTACAGATTATGGACCCCTCTTCTTTCGATCTGAATAATCTGAAGATGAGCGCCTTGAACTGTTTCTTAATTTTGAAATTGTTTATTGTTTTGAAGGATGTGTTTGTTTTAAACGACGTGTCATCCTTAAAGGTGTTTTATTTTTCTAAATAGCCTATCTGATTATATGCTTGATTTTCAGGTGAACTACAGTATGAGTGTCCCGTTTGTGGCTTATTATACAGGCACAAAGGAAATCTGTCCCGACATATGAAAGCTCACAACCCTGGCTCCACTCAGTGTTCAATATGCAACCGGACTTTGTCACATGTATTTAGCCTCAAGAGGCACATGTTCCTCTCTCACAATATTCAAGTCTGAGCCCACTCTAAGTCTTTATGTATAAGTGCGCCGCTGGGCCTCTAGACGAGTTATGAAATGGACGTATTTCTGCCAAACGGAACTATGTGCATTATTACGTGAGCCTTGTTATGCATATATTCTTATAAGTCTCAGGGCTCATGTCTTAATACATATAGTTTCGTTCGGCAGAAATACGTCCAAGTAACGCAAAAGTCATCGTTTTCTCTCGCCAAATTTTATTAGAAAAACGAAATGCACAGCAAGAAGTCTGGAAAACGAATCTTGAACATGATACAAACCGTTCAAAATTAAACTCGGTTGAATTGTAGGATAAAAATTACGTCATTTGTTTGATTTAACTACCATTTGATCTGTTTCAAAAATATTTGTTGATATCCCACATGACTTGATTTCCGGACATCCTGCTGTGCGAGTCGTTTTCTTCGTGAGATTTTAAAGGCGCAGATCATGTAGCTTTTTTTTCTTGTTCAGACTTCGTTTAGTGGCCCATTAAACGTGCTATATAGTGTTGATTAAGACTTTTTTTCTTGTCTTACATCAATTTCACTAATTAGATCTTTTGCCAATAATACATTAACTTGTGCTTGTGTTTTTACACGCATTTTCAACTTTAAAAAATGAAAAAAGTTTCTCTTTGATGAAAAAAGAGTACCTTGCGGTTTGAAAAAGCATATGGTTCGCATTTTTTAAATGTGAGGAAATTTTTTTGAAAGGCTGATGAGGAAAATATGGAAAGCCGGAGGGTGGGGGCGTGAAAACGTGGAGGCTTGTAAGATTCTGCTCACCTGCTAAAAGTTTCACAAAAAATCGATTTTTCTCAAGAAAACGCGTTTTTCAAGTTAAAAATGATCGTTTAAAAACGCCCATCTGCATCACGGCGCAGAATCAGGTGGACGTATTTCTGTTGAACGGAACTATGTGAAACGTGAGTCCTGTTATGCATATATTCTTTTGGGTCTCAGGGCTCACGTCTTAATGCACATAGTTCCGTTTGGTAAAAATACGTCCAATTATTCTGGCCAATCTGCTCACATCGGGCCCAAGTATCATCCAATTCGGCTGAAACTTAGCACCCGGTATTTTTTGATCGAATGGACAAATTTGGGGTGACCTGAACTTCGTTCCCAATCATCAAAATTCATATCGATCTATTAATGACCTAGTTTCTTCCTGAAATGTGTTTCCCATGCATGAAAACTTATAGTCAGTCATGAGCTTACCTAATAGCCAAAGAAAACCAAAACATGTAATTCCAAAACTGCAGTAATCGACTGTTTAATTATTAATGTATCTGTGTGTGTGTTTATTTTTTTGTCTCTTTTTTTTCTTCCTTGACATTGATATTTATATCACGCGTGACTACACGTTTGATTAATTATTAAAACTTGTGTTTCGTTCATCAAAAATTTAGTAATGGTATTTTATCAACTCAGCAACCATTGATTGGCACAATCCCTCACATCACATGACAGTATGCCAATAATTTGCAGAAATGTATTTTCAGTCTTTTGTTTCCAAATGTGCCTTGAAGCCTATCTTTACCACTTGTCTGTCCATTATTTTAACATCGCATAATTATTCCCATTATTCTTGTCCTTGTATCTGTTGAAAATTTTACCTCGTTTAATAGCTTTCTTTAAGTTCTTTTCTGTTTCACACAATCCCAGTGGATGTTTTAATTTTCCAAAATTAAACGTTGAAACAATGGAACTTTTTTCTGGAATATTGATTTATCCCATTTCTCGTACCAGCTTAAACCGATTGAATGTTTTAAAACCCAACAATTTTACAAACTTTCTTCAGGTGTTAGTCGAATTTATGAAGTCATTTATATGATCATTAAGTATTGTGGATGAAGGGATCAACTACTGTTTTTGTCGTCTCGACAAAAAATATTCAAAGTGATAATATCATATGGATAAGAGCTTTTGAAGCAAAATAATTCGATCTGTTATGGTTGCTTTGTCATCATAAATCCAAGTTTTCTGATGAATATCAATCTATATATCGCAAAGCACGGCACGCCATTGCACTCCAGAGACAATATGTCTCAGGTACTTCGCACTGCCATCCTCCGTATTGGATAAAAGTTTTCTTTGGAAGTCAACGCTCAGCTTCGCCTTATAATGACTGATGACCAAGGAAATACGCACAGGAGCTCTTGCATGTGTCCGGAATTCGCGATTTAAGTACTGATTCGCTTTTGTAAAACTTTGCGAGAAACACTACGGTGCGACTGCTTTTCTCTGAAATTAACTCCAAAGCTAAAAAAAAGCTCTCAAACTTGAGGTAATAGAGGGAATATCCCTATCCCAGGCTACCCTTGAAGTCCACATATTTCTAGTCAAACTCTTCATGCAGTAATCGGGAGCAAATATATTAAAAAGTTTGCCACTTTTTGGAGGGCTCCAAATCGGCAACCCTGCTAGTGTATTTGCTCCCTATATCTGCATGGAGAGTTTGAAGAGATATAGGTGTAGACTTTAAGGGTATAGCCTGGGATATCCCCTCCATTGCGGCCTCAACTTTGAGAGCTTTCTTTGAGCTTTGGAGTTTAGTGGAGGGAAAACTATCGGCATCATCGTATTTCTCGCTAAATTTTAAATTGGAATCAGTATTTAAATCGCGAATTCCGGACCCATGCAAGAGTTCTATCGGTTTGGCAGCCCTAACCTATATATAAATCAAGCCGCTACCTCAGCGCACCAGAACGCTCTGCGACTCCAAATCGCCCACGAATCGATCCTCCCACAAACCATCGGGCAGATTAAACCGTCTGATCTCCCCCTTCACTCCCTCCTGCCAACCTTTTACTGGACGTCCACGCCGGGAAGGTATTTGATTGGGTTCCTCCCGGAAGAACCCTAACCTAATTTACAAGAACTAGCCTTAGGTTTACTGCATAGAGTACATAGAGTCGTAATGTAAGTGGGTGAGCTGGCGCCACTTTTAAGCATTTTCCAAGTCCCGAATTCCGAGACTCCTGTGTGACGCAGGGTCACCTTTTCGATACTTAATCGATTGTTTGCGATACACGGGTACCCGGCCATCCGATGTAAACAAAGAAGATTGGAATCACCACGTATTCCACACCGCCATTTTGGATCGCACATGTATCGAAGAAGTGACCCGAATTCGGCGCACACCGGGCTCGGGTCTCGTCGAGCAGAACATGCCGCCAGCTCTCCCATTCACATGACGACTCTATGTACTCTATGGTTTACTGACATATTCTTCCGTGTTTTCTATCAGGCTCGGCGGGAGAGGGCTTCCCGTGTCACATCTGCGGTAGCGTCTACCGACACCGGACGAACCTGTACAGCCACCTGCGGGCCCACAACGGCTCCACCTACTGCTCCATCTGCGACAAGTCCTTCTCCCTCGTCGGCAACTACAAACGACACATGAGTCTCGTTCACACGCCCCAGCGCAAGGACACCTGAACCCCGCATTCCAGGATTCAGGGACTCTCTTTCGCGGTTAAGAGACCTCGAGATCGATAAAAAACTAATACTGCCGTGATAGTCAAGAGAGCAGTATGTGCAAAAATGAAGTTTTGAGAAAACGGGCTCAAAAGCTTCTGACCGGGACATTGCAGACAAAATGCAGTCCAATTGAGGCTCCGGCTAATTATTGTTAATGGAGATGTTGCATGTGTAAGGGATTTGCGGTTTGACCGCTGTTTCTTACGTAAAAGTTCGCGAGAAACACGATGGCGCCACTGGTTTTCTATGAAATCAACTCCCAAGCGCAAAAAAGCTCTCAAAGTGAGGCCAAAATGGAGGAGATATCCCGTCCTACCCTAAGAGTACACCTCTCCATCAAAACAAACTCTTTATGCAAAGATAGGGAGCAAATACATTAGCAGGGTTGCCGTGTTTTCAGTTTTGGAGTCCCCAAATGAAGTGGCAGCCCTGTCAATGTATTTGCTCCCTATCTTTGCATGGAGAGTTTGTTTTGATGTAGAGGTGGACTCTCAGGGTAGGGCGGGATATGCCCTCCATTTTGGCCTCACTTTGAGAGCTTTTTTTGAGCCTGGGAGATGGTTTCACAGAAAACTAGGGGCACCATCGTGTTTCTCGCGAACTTTTACATAAGAAACAACAGTCGAATCGCAAATCCCTCACACATGCAACATATCCATTTCAGCCAGAAAACTACACGGTGATACAAAAGTCCCTTCGACCCCCTCCAACATTTTACCGAATTGTGGTAAAGATTTGAAACTGAGAGGATGTTCCTAGGTCAAAGAAAGCTACTTCTCGGTCTCTTTTAAAATTTTCTGGGGGGCCAAAATATAGCTCCCTTTGACCTAGGAGCGTCCAACATGTTTCACATCCTTCCCTCAATTACGTTCAAAGTTAGAGGGGGTGGAAGGCACTTTTAGATCCAACGTATAAAATCCAAATTTAGCCAGGGCAAGTTGTGTATTTCCAATTGCGAGTGGAATCGGTTTACCATTCTCAGTTACCAAAAGCTAGGTTATTGAAACTAGAAATATTTTAATGTCCCTCATTGATTGTCCCGTTCAATTTCATTGCGACGCAAATGATTCACTCGTAGGAAATAACACGTAATTGCCTAAAAATTATTGCTTTAATGAATTTATTTTTAGAATTATTGGTGCTGAAACTAGAAACGCAAGTATTATACAGGGTGATCTAAAAGTCCCTTCCACCCCCTCTAACTTTTTACCTAATTGAGATAAAGATTTGAAACTTGGGGGATATTCCTAGGTCAAAGGGAGCTACTTTTTGGCCCCCTAAAATTTTCAGGGGGGCCCCCCTTGGGGAGGCAACGGCCCCCCACGTTTAATTTTCAAATGGGAAGACCCCCTTTGTGATAGCTTGTTCGAAAGTGCATAAAAAAAGAAAACTTTTCGCGCAAACCCGAAGTCAATATCTCAAACCGTTTCAAAATGGCGGCCGGTTAAAGTTCAAAATGGCCGAAAATTCACACCGGTTATTTGTCGATGGATTTGCGCGAAAATAGGTATGAAGGGGTATTCTGACACGAGAAAAACGAATTTGACGATAGATTTTCAAAAAAACCAAAATTTCCAAAATGGCCGCCAGTTAAAGTTCAAAATGACCAAAAATTGATTCTTTTTAAATCTAAGTTCAAATTTGTTTATCTTATGCCAAAATACTCTCAAATTCCAAGTTTTAGGCAAATCCATCAGGAAAAAACCGAGGTGAAAATTTTCGGCCATTTTAAACTTTAACCGGCGGCCATTTTGGAAATTTTGGTTTTTTTGAAAATCTAACGGCTAATTCGTTTTTCTCGTGTCAAAATACCCCTACATACCGATTTTCGCGCAAATCCGTCGACAAATAACCGGTGTGAATTTTCGGCCATTTTGAACTTTAACCGGCCGCCATTTTGAAACGGTTTAAGATATTGACTTCGGGTTTGCGCGAAAAATGTTCTTTTTTTATGCTCTTTCGAACGAGCTATCACAAAGGGGGTCTTCCCATTTGAAAATTAAAAGTTGGGGGCCGTTTCCCCCCTAGGGGGGCCCCCTGAAAATTTTAGGGGGCCAAAAAGTAGCTCCCTTTGACCTAGGAATATCCCCCAAGTTTCAAATCTTTACCTCAATTAGGTAAAAAGTTAGAGGGGGTGGAAGGGACTTTTGGATCACCCTGTAGTTTGCTCTGTTGAAAATTTATCTCACATTTCCCTCTTTTGTCTATTCGTCGTGATTGCATGGTTGTCCGTGTGATTTTCTCCGCGATTCTCCTGGAATTCTCTGCATAGTATACGTGCCAAAATAAAAGGTTATGTTTCCATGAAAAACAAACAAAACAAAGAAATTAGAATTGAGTTGTTGAAACTCTACTAAGAGATCCGTGTTTCCGCTGGTGTCCAAAAAAATAAAGGTTTTATAACTTGCATTGTGCTAAATCCAATTTTTTGAGACTGATATTAGGTAATAATTGTTATTATAGCAGAACCGTGTTTCAAAGCGGACCTGAAATGTATACTTCTCTTGTTCCTTCCTAACTCTTTTTGTCACTTCCCGTAGTTTTTTTTTCTTCTTGAACTGAACGTAATGGGAATCAAAGATGCAACTCTAAGTTCACATAGAATAATTTGTTTCTGTCCTTACACTTTAAATAATAAATATTGTTTCCAAAAAATTGAATGTTGTACCTTCGTCTCATTTCATCATCCTTGTCTTCCTTTTATTTTCACGACATTGATTTATTCTATTTTAATAATTTTATTTATTCAAACATACTGAGGCTCTGCCTACAGGCAAGCCATCGTCCTTTAAATTTTAAGCAGTAACCTTCAGTGGCGAAAAGTGAATTGTCGATTGTAGATATTTTCTCATTTTCAACTATGATAAATAATCGATTTTTGAGATGTAACTTTATAATTGCTCCTTTTGTGTAGGATTAAATAACAGACCAATTGACTCGTCGCAAAGCACGCCGTGACGCCGCGCCACTATCATTATAACATACCAAGAGTAAAATAAATAAAGAACAGAAATTAATTTAGATTCAAACTTAGAAGATGCTAAGTAGATAGCTACGTCAAGTAGGAATAAGCAAAGTTTAGAATCTCTCGAAGGCAGAAAAGCGAGACAAAATTTCAAGGTATGAAAACGTTCATACTTCACCATTAAAAGACCAAAAAGTTTCATTTATTTGGGAACGGGGCTATTTCTGGGAACTAAATAATACGCGTCAAAGGAAGAAGAAAATATCTATTCACCGAAAGTTTTTGACTGAATTAAGTTTTTTCGTCCCCTGGAATTTTTTTTCCAGAGTTGAGCACTTTTTAAAATAAGCTATTAGATTAGATCAGAACAATCAAAATTTTTATGAAGCAATCGCTGTCGTCATTTGCGATTTTTTCAAGCAATTTTACATGGCGAAAGACTTAATTTTCTGCTGCAGCATAAGTTTTTAGCAATTCAGCAGCCCCCTTAGAGGAATATCCACATCACTTGTGTTGACTTATTTTTGTTCCGGGTTGATCCTTTACTAAGCCAGGCTGCTTTACGATTTGTTTTAGACATGTCCCCAGAACTGACTCCAGAGTTCTCCGACCCTCCTGCCGAGTTCCCTTGCCGAACTTGTAACCGTATTTACAGGAGTCGCGCTAGTTTGCGGAACCATAGGCAATCTCACACTGGGAAAACCACCTGCCCAATATGCAACAAAGTATTTTCTGTCGTCAATAATTTGAAGCGACACATGTTACTCGCACACCAAAGTGACAAATAAAATGGAAGTGACTCTAATTTTTCTAATAAAAAAAACTACGCATTTAGGTCCATATTTTGTTTTTTGTTTTTATTCCACCGAAAGAAACATATTGAGCTCAACTCTTCAATTTTTGATTTTACAATTCAATTTCACAGGAATAAAATATTTTTCTGGGTTTCAGGTTGATGTCTATCTTTGCTTTTAGTCAAATCGATTAACCTCTCAAGAGTGAATGTCCCTTCTTATAGTTTGATGATCCCTTCCTACCTATAGGACCTTATCTAAAAGGCCTACACATATTTAGACACGTTAATAATCGGTTCGATAGAATTAATATGTCGCGTTATGGCGCTGGACGCGCTGGCGTTGAGGATGTGGGAGAGCTAAATGAGAAGTTGCATTTGAAAGGGCTGAAAAGAATGCTGTATTGAGAAATTTTGAACATGAGTTGTACAAAAAATTAGCCACTCTTTAGAAAGGTATACCAGAAGGGCGTGAACAATACCACCACACATACCAGTAGACTAATTATTGAAGTTGATGAACAAAACAATAGACAAAGAAGACATTGGGAGTATGGGGCGATCCTATTGGTTGAAACGAGTGGTTATTTTAGACTGAAGGGGTAAATGATGGACTAACCTTGGACTCTTTTGGGCTGCTGCATGTTAGTTAGTCACAGCCCTATGTCCTCTGTGTATATAGCTTTGTCTATCAATTTCAATAATCAGCCTGCAGGCATGGTTCAAGGTGGAGGAAGATCAAGAAAATCGAGCAGCACACGCTTTTATAGACAACAAGTCTTTACGCGATTGGCTGGGCTTTAATCAGTGGAGCTATCAATTGCAAGTCTATAGTCATTGACTTTGTGGGTGATGGCTGGATGATAGGGTTGAAAAATTGAAAAATGAACTGAATCCAGCCATCCTTAACGACTTGGTAGAATATAAATGAAAAATGGGAAATTAAAAGAAATACGGGTTGCGTTACTGGAGGGTGGAGGAACACGCGACGTAATACCTATTGGCATTAATTTTTGGTGCAGGAAGCTTCCAAATATGCAAATCCCAAAGTTAATTCAAACAGACAAAATCTTGGAATATTGATCTTAAATTTCTGTGCAAATTTGAAGTGAACAGTCAATTTTCTCTCTCTTAACTCTTTTACTTTTAAGCGATTTCACACACTTGAAGAACAATTTAAGCCTCCAATTGATGGTAATGGTGTGTGACATCTTTTTCTTTCTTTTTTTTAAAATGTATGCATGATGTATGATGTTAAAACTTCACAAAAAAGTTGAACTTACAAACGAAATCAGATCTGTGCCATCAGTTTTAAACTTTTTTCTGAGTCATCGGGTTCAATCCTCCTTTGAAACTCCTTTTTTCTAAATGCCAGTAAAATACTACAGCCTTGACTCACCGAAGAGCTCATTTTTCACTTCATCTTGGGGAAATGTTGCATCAGCCTCCAAGTGAAACAGTTCCTCTAAATCTTGCTGCTCTGCTGTTTGTTCTAGATTATTTTCCTCGACGAAACCGTGTTTCTTCCGATTCCGCCGAAGTGTTAACATGTGCTTTTTGCAACCGCATCTACAGAAGCCCACAAAGTTTAGCAAATCACATGAAAAGTCACTCTGGGAAAACCACGTGTGCAATTTGTAACAAAATTTTTGCCACCGTAAACGGTCTAAAGAGCCACATGGTAATCGTGCATAAATTAATGGACATTATTAAATAAAATATGAGTGATCCAGACCCTGTTCACAGCAGCAACCACGAGGATTTCAAATCATCCGTTTTACTTTCGGTTTACTGGCAAGTAATTTTAAGATGCCTCGACAATATTCGTATATGTAATGGGAACGTATACAGCAACATTGATGCATTTTTTGTGATTGTATTAAATATACGTTAAAAGTTAAAAAATTACACGGAAGCTTACAACCACAAATTGAGGCTCATTTTTTATTTCTTATTCACAAGCTTTACCCATAGATGCGTTGGGCTACAATTTACGAAAGTTCCAAAAACATTGCCAAAAATTTTTGAGTCCCGATAAAAAAAAGATTAAAAATAGCTACATAATCGATTTTCCCTTCTTCCTGCCCCCTCCCGTGCCAGGATTTCACTCTCCAATGAATATTAGAATTCTGGCGTTGAGAAATAAAATAATTTTTTTTTCTTTCAAATATGCACTCTTAGAAATTTCTTCAAAAAGAGTCAAGTTTTTTTTCTTTTATTGGTCTAAAATGGCTTATTACTCCCTCACGCCATGATACTCTTCATTGATGTGTCCTTTAGTCGGAAAGGGTCGTGGAAACTTCTTTCTAAATCAAGTTGTTTGACGATTTGTTTTAGATATCCTTCCCTTACGGAGCCCTGCGTTTGCTTATTCTGAAGTATCCTCCTGTCGTATCTGCAACCGCATCTACAAAAGCCATCAAAGTATGATGAATCACATGAAAAGTCACACCGGAAGGACCACCTGTAAAATATGCAACAAAGTTTTCTCTATAGTGAATGCTTTGAAGAGACACATGATACTTGTACATCAAATCAATGTTTAAAAAATAAAATAAAATAAAAGTGACTGATTCCGCTGAATACGGCCACTTCTTCTAAATTTTTCTCTGAATCAGACTGCTTCACGATTTGTTTTAGATATCCTTCCCTCACGGAGCCCTGCCTTTGTTTCCTCTGAAGTATTTTCCTGTCATATCTGCAACCGCATCTACAAAAGCCATCGAAGTATGACGAATCACCTCAAAAGTCACACCGGAAGGACCACCTGCAAAATATGCAACAAAGTTTTCTCTGTAGTGAATGCTTTGAAGAGACACATGATACTTATACATCAAATTAACGTTTTAAAAATGTAATAAAATAAAAGTGACTGATTCCGCTGAACCGGCCAATTTTTCTGAATGTTTCTCTGAATCAGGCTGCTTCACGATTTGTTTTAGATATCTTTCCCCAACGGAGCACCGCGGTCGTTTCTTCTGAGGTATTCTCCTGTCGTATCTGCAACCGCATCTACAGAAGCCAACAAAGTTTGATGAATCACATGACAAGTCACACCGGAAGGACCACCTGCAAAATATGCAACAAAGTTTTCTCCATAGTGGGCGCCTTGAGGAGACATATGATTCTCGTACACGGAGCGTTGCATCATAGATAAAACGGAATAGACCCGTAAAAAAAAAAAAAAAACTGCTTAGTTTTCAGAACCTCTTCCACTTCTCTCGATTCATCAAGTGTCAAGACAGAGTTGCCACAGTCAGGAAATACCGGGAAACGTCGGAGAATTTTAAGAAGTCAGGGTAAACCCGGAAATGTCCGGGAATTCGACCAAAATTTGTCAGGGAATTTCATCTTCTACATCCTGTGGCAACCCTGTCAAGAGTCCACTGGGTTTTCCTTCGTTGTACTGACCTGAAAAATATAGAATATACAAGCTATAAAGAATTTAATATAATATGATGGTCATTAGCCTAAAAAATTCTCACAGACCAAACTTTAGGTTGGATTACTGGCTTACCATAAGGCTATCAAATACAACTGAATCCTGTCGCGGGAAACAGCTAATGTCCAATTTTCTAGCTTCAAGTTTTTTGTATTAATAATATTTTCTCTCCGGAGCGATTAGTTAGTGCTACGGAGAGAAAATATTTTCTCTCCTGAGCAATTAGTTTATGCAAAGGAGAGAAATTTTTTCTCTCCAGAACACTAACTAATCGCTCCGGAGAGAAAATATTATTAACACTAAAAACTTAAAGCTAGAAAATTGGACATTAGCTGTTTTCCCACGTCACGAACCAGTTATATTTAATAGCCTTATGGTAATCCAGTAATCCACCCCAAAGTTTAGTCCGCATAATTTCAAAAAGTGATACGATTATAAGAATGGCTCGAGGCCTTGTTTTGGGATTACCTGTATTTGGATAACCCAAAAACGAGCATTAACACCACTTTTATGATTGCAAAATAACTTTTGAAATTTATTTTCAACCCCCCCCCCCCCCAATAAAAAAAAACTTTAAGACTGGGAAAATGGACATTCGCGGTTTTAGCACGACATGATTCCGTTACCGCATTAATAAAGTTAATTAAGAGGGGGAAAACCTTTGAAAAAAGGCTTTGAATACTTCGAACTGGAGCCAAGAATTTTTTCTCGATGGTCTAAAATTTTAAACAACACCGACCGAGTTCATGGGAAGGGAACCACCCCACATTAATTTGAAACTGAGAAAAAGAGGTTTGAAGTTTTATTCCTGCATAAGGCTCGACGTAGAAAGTAAACTTTAACCCCTCTTTTAACGAAGTAATTCCTTTTTTTCGATTTCCAGATTTTGGCAGGAGAAAACGAACGTCTAGTGAAACTCAAAACCTCCTCAGCTCAATTTTTTCGCAAATGTGGGTTGGTTCCTCTCTGATGAACTCAGTTCATATGTTTTTTCTTTTTTCTTTTTTTCCTTTTTTTTAAATCTCTCTCTCCTCTTTTTTTTCTCGATCCACATGATACTCCTCATAAATGCGTCTCTTTACCGGCAAAGGTCGTAAAAACTCTCTAAAGTAGGCTGATTAATGATTTGTTTTAGATAAACCTCCAGAACGGAGCTCTGATTCTGATTCCACGGCAGTAAAGCTCTGTCATATATGCAGCCGCACCTACAAAAGCCGACAAGCGTTATCGAATCACTTGAAAAGTCACACCGGAAGGACCACTTGTGAATTATGCGGGAAAGTTTTCTCCATAACGGGCTCTCTGAAAAGACACATCAGAGAAAGACATTAGAGAGACTCCTTTACGGGTCGTTCGTCGCACAGTGTAGGAAGCCGTCGAGAGATGTCGAGTATGAAATTCTTGTACAATACTGCAAATTTAATGATTATTTTGTGTTGTTATAAATTTTAAGAGGCGTTTCTTGAAGAGAATTCTACGAGAAAACCGCAATGGATCCACTGTCACACTTCTGCATTTTGTATCATGAAAGTATAAAATACATTTTCATATCATTTCCAACAATCCCCTTGACTAACTCCAGTGCGCTTTGGTATATCTATGACCAAAATAAGTTGTAAATAAATTCATATCATGTCCAACTTTTCCTATCGACTAATTTCCTTGTGCATCAGTATATCGATGACCAAATTGCGAAACCGCATATCTCTACTTATTTATTTTATTATTTTTTTTTTTAAACAACGTTATATTTATTGTGATCAATACAAGGAGGAATTATACTTAAAAGAGTATAACCCGAAGGCCTGTTTTACATACTAATTGAAGCCTATGTTTTATTTATTTACAATTGTGTTTTTGAATGTTTCCCCCTTGTATTATTTTCCCTTTAAAGATTGTCTTAGCTTAAATTGACATGATTCTTGAGGCTCCTCATTCCTCTATCTGTGTTATTGTTTATTGTTCGTCTCGGAATTACCTGTTAGAGGTATGTATTCAAGGGAGGATTGAGTTTGGTTGATGTCCTTGTCCAATTGGTTGGGGTTGGGGTCTTCAGCCGCGTGTTTCTCAGTGTCGCGTATCTCCATTGCAATACCTCATTTCCGCTCTTATTTAATTTTTTCGAAGAGAAACAAGCCAACTTCGTAACTTCAAATTTACACAGATACAGAATGTATTCAGCTAGCAAAGAAAATCAAAAGAGTGTATTAAGAATACGGTGACTTGTTATCAAAAGGAAAACTTAAGCAGGACCGGAAGTCTGCAACGGCACAAATGGAGAAACGTGATTTTGCACTATTGATTTCTATATGGAACAGAGTAGATCTTGAGACTACAAAAATGTCTCACCTCTTGGTTTATCAGCAAACACCGATGCCAATACCACCGAGTTTTTCGTTTGTTTTTTTTGCTCCAACTTGTACACGGAGAAAAGAACTTCGTGCGTGGGACCCGAAGTTGAGGTCATGTGGATCTCTGAAGTTTTCGGATCACGTAGGTATCTAAAAACTTGAGGTCCAGCTGCTGAAGTTCGGGTGAGACATCCGAACTACTTCGATATATACCGAAGGGTTGGGGCCATACATCTGACGTATACTCCGGTACATACCGAAGTGCCTCGATGTCTGACCCGAACTTCGGCAGCTGGACTTCAAGTTTTCGGATGCGTGATCAGAGAACTTCAGAGATCCATATGACCTCAACTTCGGGTCCCATCCACGAAGTTTTTTTCTCCGTATAAAAGTCCAGAACTATATTCTTAGTCCAATATGCATAATACAGATTTTAAAGGATTGCATGCAATACTATGACCACTGGCCTAAACCATGTGTGCTGATTACTACAGGGCAGCCTCCCCGAGTTTATGATGATAATATTATATTGATGCCTAAATGCGAAAAATGTGCATCTTAACCGCAATGTTTATAACTCTCCAATTATTTCATTTTCTTCACGGAAAATCAATGAAAATATTCCCGTGCAATAATTTTGTCTTAATTACATTAAACTTGGAAAAAATTTCATTAGAAACTGTTGGTTTAGTTTTCCTCTAGAGAGATGAAATATGGTTGGATACTTACAATGTTACAATCTGTAGTACGCAGTTTTCTATTTTAAGCATCGAGTGTAATTACTACAATACCTGATGATGAAGTTAAGGAAAAAACTTAAACATAAAAACAATTAAAACATTCGGAGTGAATGCAAATAATTATAAGTTGTGAAATTCTGATGTACTTTTTGAAGTGTAAGTTAGTGTAACCCGAAGATGTGCATGTGTAGAATGAGACGCGATTATAATCAAATAAAAATGACAAAGATCAAAATTTTGTCAATGAATGAATGAATGTCTTTTTATTTAGACCTATTTCAGCGAGACGATCGAAATGGCGGCAATCCCACAATCGTCGTTTTTTAAGCGAAGATACGGAACTTTATTCCAAGATTGCGAAATTGACTTGAGCAATCCAATATATTTTAATGATAAGATTGTGTAATTTCTGTCCAAAAGGCTGATTTACACTCGTGATTAAATGAAAAGTTAGTTAATTTTCACGTAGAATTGTTCTCAATTTTTAGTATAAGTTCAATGCAATTTTTGAAAGCAGTTTTACTTCACACACCCGAATAGTGGAATGACGTCACAGTAAGAAAGGGACCGTAAACAGAGAGAAAGGGAAGAGGGGGAAGAGAGAGAGGAAGAAGGAATAAACTCCTTCAATTGAGAATGATACTGCGCAACACACGGAAGCTTGAATAGTTGTATCATTCAGTTAGTCACGATATTCTGAGTCTAAATCCACGGAGGGGAAGCGAGAGTGGTGGAGTGAGAGGGGAAGAGAGGGGAGAGAAAAAGATAAGAGAAACGAAAAATTCTGATAAGTTTATCAGCAGGTGACGTGTTAAAAACTGAGTAGCTCGTGACAAAACATACATTTTTTATAAGATACAACAGCGGGTTACAAGGCTAGAAAAAAAAGCACATTCACCACGACGTTTCGGCTGGAAAGACCACAGCCCTTAAACTTAATCCAGATGTTTGAGCTTTGAATCCTCCGAAAAGTCCTTATTTGAAATGGCTACGCTCAGTAAAAACTAGGGTCTAGCTAGGGCGCAATGAAGGGTGTGCTGTGCACCCGAGTGCTGGGAAGAAAACAATAGGGATTATCAAGTATCAAAAGAAAATCGTCAACTTTGCGTTTTTACAGGGTTGCCACAGTCAGAAAAAACCGGGTAAAGTCAGAAAGTTTTTAGAAAGTCAGGGAAAATGACGAAAATGTCAGGGGAAATTTGTTAAATCACCTTCATTTGCTTTCTAGAATGGGTTTGAGGTTTCGAACAACAAATTTGGCCTGAAAACTATTTTCAATTATGCCCTCTTAACCATCCGTCACATCTTTAATTGTCAGGGAATTCCCCCAAAACGTGTCAGAGAAATCAGGGAAATGTCAGGAAATTTCATTTTCTAAATTCTGTGACAACCCTTGTTTTACTATCTAGGAATGGATTTCAAATAATTAATTTCACTCTTAATGTTCTAATTTTCTAGCCATACCAAATGCTGGACGGGCCACAAAGAATTTGCCGCCTTCAAGTAAACTTTTCCGCTGTGAGATTTGCGGTTTTAGTTACAAGCACAAGGCCACTCTCACAAAGCACATGAAATTCCACCTTGGCCAAACTTATTGTGACATTTGCTGCAAAAGCCTTTCCACTGTGAAGAACCTTGAAATGCACATGATCCTGACCCACAAAACAACCGGGGTAAAACGTACATAAAATTAGATGTAAGTAGAGATTGTCCAAACGGCTCTTGTGGCCTCGAGATAATCCTGCAGCCCCTTCTTCGAGTTGAAAAAAAGTGAAAAGAAAAAATCAAGAAGAAAAGAGGAGCAAAAGAGGATTCGTACAAGTATAACCTCCGTAAAAAAACTAAAAGCGTATTACAATAGTTACATGATAAGACCATAGGGTACCACAACGCAACGCAGCCTTTAGATTTTAGTTATTTGGTTTTTATCTCAAAATCTTTGCTCTATCTCCATTGTCTTTTTGTGTTTTTTGGTTTGCATTTTCCTCTTCTTTTCATCCTTGAACCAAACGGTCCTGAAGTATTGAGATGAAATCTGTCAATGTTCAATGTAGATTTCCTTCTCAAAACGGGCAAACGTTAATTTTGGGGCTATTTTTCGCAAGTCATAAATTAGCCATTTTCTTTCCCTATTGATGTCTGACGAACCACAGTTAAATCCATTAAAGTTCACGAAAAAACTAGTCGTACCAAATGCCATCTTGTAACCTAAATGATCTCTATGTTTCGTTTGTATCTTCCACACGGATCCCTCAATGTGTAGTTCCCGCTAAAGCCCCACTCAATTTGACCTGTGACGTGTGCAACAACACCTACCAAAGCCGCATAAGTCTCACGCTTCACAGGAAGAGCCACGTCGGTGAAACAACTTGTAAATTATGTCGAAGGGTGTTTTCTAATGTTGCCAATCTTAAAAGGCACATACTGACAGTGCATAATGTAATGCCTAGTCGCCTTATTGACGATTGAACAGATTTGATGGAATCCCGTCTCTTCTGTAACGTTTCATTTGGAAAATATTTCATCAAAACTTAATCGAATTACATCTCTGAAATTATCATATCCATTCATTTTTGGAACTTTTTACTCTATTGACCATCATCATTTTATATTTTTCTGTCAACTTTTTCATAACAATTCTACCTTCATCAAAAAATGTATTATGTATTATTCGAGCTGAACATTGGAATGTTCTCCGACATCAATACTACCCGACATAACTCTCTTTGTTCTTTCTAAATTGTTTTTTATGAATATTTAATTTCATTGTTTTATTTGTTTTAAATTAATTTTTCAAAGGTTGCCATAACGCAGAGTAAATTGAACTTTGAGTCAAATGAAATGTGTTAATTTTATTTTCTACGCTTATCCCGTCACAATCCAGTCTGACCTTAGATTAGGATTCATCCTACCAACGGGGAAATTTTTAAAAGCTTAGAGCAACACGATGAGACATCGAAATGCGATATCGACGGTGTAAGCAATCACATAACTCGGTTTGCGACGTCGCAGACTTCCTGTCATACTTTATTTTTAAACGGAAAACTACTCAACGGCAATTCTTTAAAAGTGCCGTGATTTTTCCTCTCTGTGCGAAGCAAACTCTGCAAAAACTTCAAGGAATGATGTGAATTTGTTCTCCTTTAAAAAAATAACATAGAGGCGGAGATTTTTAGACACTGCAAACGAGACATGTGACTTCGGACTTAGGCCGTCAATATATTGAATAGTTAAGAAGGGGATATATCTTGTCTTGTCTTATCGACATAGATTCGATAATCGGGCCAAGGACTTGAATTTAACATAATCAGACCAACCGCAGCGAACGTTGTCTGACTTTATCTTGTGTCCTATTTAGTGACAACGGTGTAGTTTATGGAAATCGGTAGACAAAGCGAGAGACGAACAAGACTAATGGAAAATAGAGTGATCCTGTTGGTTGAAACGGGCGGTTGCAATGGACGAAGGAAGTAAGTGATGGACTAACTAACGACAAAACATAAGAGACTCCATAGTTAATCCATAATTTTTCCATTTAGTCTTTGAGAATTTTCCGTTTTAACAAATAGGAATCTCCATTTTTCCTCTGTCTCCTTCGTCCATTGCTTTTTCTATCAATTTAAATCATCGACCAACATTTTGACTTGAATTGTGCGAGTACATTACCTATAATCAAGGGAAAAGTTCAAGAAAGTTCTCTTTAAATTTTTGTTTCACCCAGATCGCTTATTTCATAGTTGGTGATGAAATTTGCAATTCTTTTATAAAAAAAAAACGTAAGATTCATTGTTTACCGTAGTTGGTTTTGTACATTTATATTTCGCCGAGTTTCATGAATTTTGTTGCTCTAGACCAGTAGGTCCCGGGTTTGAATTCCGGTGGTGGTGACAAATTTTCACGGAACTGACGAGTGGATCTGCAGAAACAGATTCTACTCGACCTCAATCCCTGAAAATTTGAAACCCGTAACATGGACGTCCCTATCGCCCTGTTGTCTTACGACGAAATCTCTGTCTGAAGTTGGCTGTAGACCTCTGAGAAGAGGCATAAGCCATTAAACCTGAAAAAAAAGAAAAAGAAAAAAAAAGCGGCTATTGATGCGCAACAGGAGCGAGGCGTAAAACATGGACTATCGATTTTTTCCCATTTGAAACTATGGTAAAGAATCGAATTGTAAGGTATACCCCGTTAATCGATATTTTCCCGTAGGTTTGAATGGCTGGTCAATCGATTCATCGCTGAGCACGCCACTGATAAACAATATCCTCCAGATGAGTCGTATCTCTAAAACCCTGAACTATTACTCAGGAAGCAGCTCTTTGAAGTTGAGAAGTATCCTCTGGGGGTTGGGCCACGCAGCTGCTAGGGGGCATACCCCCTATTCGATCACCCCTTTTTCTCATATTTCGTCGCTTTTGCAGCTTTTTCGAGTTCCGTGCGGCCCGGCAAGGATGTATCTCTTCACAACAAACACCACCAATGCAAGATATGCGGCACCAGGTATAAATACAATTACAATCTCACCGAGCACATGAAATCCCACACCGGCGAAACCTACTGTAAAATATGTTGCAAGAACTACTCGACCAGGAAGAATTTCGAAATGCATATGCTTTTCACTCACAAAACAGGTGCAAACTACAAGGCGTAAACTCGGGTGACACCAACTATTGACAGGGAGGTGCAATAGACGTAAGTATAATGCACAAAACAATTGAAAGGTACTTGATATATTTTATCAATATACGAGAGATCGTTCACGGGAGAAAATGGATTGCTGATTTAACAATCTAATTGTTAAAAGTATGTCCGACATGTTTCAAATGTAAATTTTACGGTAGTTGAAAGCTACTTTAACTACGGAGGTGGCTAAAGTAGCATTTTCTTTATTGTGAAATCTACATTGTAGCATGTCGGACACTTTTTTTAACTATAAAATTGTTGAATCAGCAATTTCATTTTTTTCCGTGTTGTGCTGTCTTGCTGAGGTTCGTTTTAGTTACCGCTCACCCCCTCTCTTAGTATCAATTGCGACTTTGCTTTGATTGTCCTTTTTTAAAGTTGCTTTCAGGGGGCTGATTCTTGAAATCGATAGACAAAGAAGTAGAATGAAGAGATTGCGGGGAAATTGAGCGAACCAAGTGGTCGAAGCGAAAGATTGCAATGGACGAAGGAGGGACCTCTTCCGGCTTCAAGTGGGTTGCCGTTAGTCAGTCCATTGCTTACCGTCTTCATCTTTTGCAACCTCCGCTTCAACCAAAAGGATTGTTCCATTTTACATGTGTCTTGTTTGTCTATAGCTTCGTCTATTATTTTCAATAATCAGCCCGCAGCCACATAAACTAGACGGGTCGGAATCAGTACGGCTATAAACGGCAATTCTAAACGCTTCGTATTAAAAGCAAAAAATACAAATTTGCGAGGGAAAACTGGCGCCTTGAATTTTTTCTTCCGGAAGAATTGGTTCCTTGATGGTTGTACGTTACATTTTTTGACATTCTGAAATGAAGACGTAAACTACATAGACAGTTTCTGCCAATGTAAAATATGTTTAGGCATTTGGAAGAGTAGGAGTGTAGTGTCATTTGCGTCCATAAAATAGATTTTGATGGTATCCTCAGAAAAATAATGTCAAGTATCGTTTGTCTAATGTGTTTTTCAAACTTCTTTATTGTGAAACTAGTTTTTATATATACTTTTTTAATGTATATGTGAAGATGTGTAATGTACATGTGTTAAGATATTGCACTCTTTCTACTTTGTCAGTGTATCACCAACAAGAAGTTTTTATTCCTTAGGATTTAATTGCTAGCAAGCATTTCCTGTTCATTAAATCTTGGCATTGCTTAAAATGCTAATATGTACGCATAGCAGTGGCGATTTTGCAAGTTGACAACATAATTTTTTCTCCTCTCTAAGAATCGATTATTTGACATACTTTTAAATGGAGGATAAACAGTGTTGCCAACTTTCAATAATCGCCATTGACGCATAGATTCCAAGGAGTATTGAAGGTTAAGACGCTGAAATGTGACTTTGAAACATAAAATTGGCTAAAGAACTGTATAGTCGGACGAAGTTCTAATATATTTTCCTCATTTCACCGAGAAAAAAACAATCTTCGCACATGCTCTCAGAAGCTTCTAATCAGTTGCTTAAATTCTATTTCAACTGACACTCTGGTGAACGATTCAACTTTTCTCTTCTCTACAGTGCTTACTGATGAAATGCCTCGATAGCTTTTTTAACGCCTTTGGTTGCTCGTCTTACATGTAGATTATTGGTCTGGTCTCTAAAATCTCTCTTCCTCCGATGTTTCAGTTTTTTCCCTTTTTCCCTTTCATTCTTCTCTTTTTAACACTTCAAAAAAGTTTCGTATCTTAGCTGATGCGTGGGGCTTGGAGGACAACGCGCATAAGTGCAGTTTTTTCTATTTAGAGAAATACGTGTTTCATACAAAGAAAGTTTTGACTTTTTGATGCCAAAAAGTTGGAATTTGGGAGCAAATTTTATACAAAATATGATTACGACTAGTTTTACTTGGTATCATCAATATCTAATTTTTTTTTAAAAATTGCACCTATCCACATTGTCCTTCAAGCCCCTCTTGTATTCTATACCTTAACGCTCAGTTGACATTTTTATTTCAGATAGTGATTTCTCTTGCATGATCTGCGGAATGAAGTACAGCAGTCGAAGCAACCTGAACAGGCATTTGATTTCGCACACTGGGAAGACTTTTTGCCATATCTGTCAAAAAAATTTCTCGCACAACGGAAACTACAAAAGACACATGTTGCTTACCCATCACCTGGCAGAACAGAACCAAAGCTAGACGGTTATATCCCTAGACTTTCAATCCCTCCTTCACCAAGTGCCATTTGTATCCACTTTCCCGAGCAGATAGAAACTTGTATTCTGAAGTTTGCAAAATTACAGGATACAACTTCGCACAAATGGATGTATTTATGTTTGCAGGACAGTTTGCAAATGAATGCAATCAAATGGAACCATACGTGTACGCAAACTTATCCACATAGTTCCTTTTAGCATTAATTTGCTTACTTAAATAAAAATAAATTAATTTGCATTTGCTCAAGACTTTTGCCAGGAAGACGTAAGTGACTGCGCTCTTTCAGATAGGCGAGTCTCTGCACATTTGATGTCTATTTTCGAAAGTCAACGGCTGTACTTCACTGAATTTATTTATTAAGTAAGCAGTTGACAATTCATAGAAAAAGCTCTCTGAAAGCATTGTGTTCTTCAGCTGTTCGAGGGAAGTTTTTTTCCCTCTCTATTTATTTGTGAAAAAAAAGCAGCAGCAGCATTATCAATCGAAGGGATTTCCATAAGTATGAAAATTCCAGCCAAAATCCATTTTAAAGGACTAATTATTAACTTACAATAATCCGCATTTTTCTAGGTAGCCTTAAGTGATGGACGCACCGACGAAAATTTTGGATTAAGTCCAGAGATTATTATTTGTATTATTTTCTTCTATTTGCGCTAACACACCAAATTTAAATCAGACAGTATTTTTATTGTATTTTTTTTCAAATGTGTTTAGATGTTCTTCAAATTACAATTATTCAGTTTCAAAGTTTGTTCGAACTTTCTTCATTCAGAACCATTCAAAGGGTCAACAACTTACTGTGAATAAGTTGAAAAAGTGTTTTTAGACTTTCAATTGGTATAAAAGTGATTTTTATCAATATTTGATGTATTGCTTTTACTTTTTACTCAAACTCGACTGAAGGCAAAGAGGACTGCAGTTAGTTCTTTTCCGCTAGTTCAAGGGACGAATTGTGTAGAATTACTTCGAACTGATGAGTATCCTATCTGTTAACTTTACCTATTCTAATCTGATCCGAATCTGATTCTAATCTGATTCTAATCCGATTCTGATCAGAAATCTGATTAAATGAACCGATCGGCCACCTTTTTGTATCATTAAGCATCGATGAAATAACAAGGGCGCTCTTTTCCATCGCAGGTGTTTATTTATTTATTTTAATCTGCCTTGTGATGTTTGCAGACCCCCTGGGAGAATATTTCCGAAAAAGCGCGTCGTCTTATCAATCGGAGCGCCCTCACGTTTGCGATATTTGCGGGGCTCGCTACAAGAACTACCGTCATCTCGTCGACCACAAAAAGTCCCACACCTCGAAGACCTATTGTGACATCTGCAATAAAAACTTGTCGACCGTGTCCAACTATCACATTCACATGATGTTCACCCATAAGATTTCTAAGAAAAAGAAACCCTACTTCGCAATAGAGGAATGGTAAGGAAGCTTCGAAGGTGCTGCCTTTCCTCTGACGTTGGGGCTTTCCTCCATCTTACCGTAAGCTTTGAAACGCATTGAGTCCCATACTGGCGCACAGTGGATCGAGTCGAATAGAGAGGTCGGACATGAAATTTTTGACTAAAACTGCAAGTTTGGATGTTAATTTTGTCATATTTTTAATTTCGAGGGGTGCTTACTGTAGACAATTTCACTAGGAAACCAATGGAACCACTTTTAGAACCTCTAAGTCTAGTATAAACGGAGCTATAAGCGTTTAAAGTTTCCAAAATTTGTCCGCCCTCGCCTATTGACTCGATCCACTGTGTAGCGTTTATCTCAATATGCAGTTGCATTGGCGGATCCAGCAAATCGGCAACTTTTTTCTCCATTTAAACCTAAGGAAATGTATAGATTTCCGGAGGGGCAGGTGCTCCGACAAGAATCGATTATTTAACATAGGTTTAAATGGAGAAAATCCGGTGTTGCCCTATTTCTAGATCCGCCTAAGCAGTTGCGTAAGGAAAAACACGTTTTTGTCGGGGACACAAGTTGAGTAGGTCAGTATCTCTGCTAAACGGAACTAGAGACGTGTGGGAAAGATGGGGCGTGCTCGTGGTGAGCTGCAGAAGAAACAATAAAATTGGGCATAATGCCTTTTAGGGACATGAAAAAGTGGGGTTTCCAATTCTGTTAAACGGAACCAAGCGCCAACTGGCTGCGGGTCTTATGGGCCGTTGGCATGCGGCGAGCGCGTCGTGGACAGGGCTCATGAGTTAAAGCGGCATCCTTGAGCATGTCAGTCGTCGCCGCTGACGTTACTAGCGCTTTATAATTCCTATTCATGTTTACGGCCCGAGAACTCACGAGCACACCCCTCCTTTCACAACTGTCTCTAGTCTCTGTAGCAGGAATACGTCAATTTTGCAATCGGGAAACATTTCAGGCTCAATTAAGAAATAACGTGTGTACTTTCAGTTTACGTATGCACATAAGTGTTCTCACGGATGAGCCAGAAATTGTAGTTCCCAATTGCAAAATGCAGTCCAATTCGTCATCTCCCGGACGGAAGAATGTAGTTCCATTCCGAGGTCGAAATATTCACTCAAAAAATTCAATTTTTTAAAATAATTTTCCCGTACAATTTTCGTCAGGTTTGTCAATGTTAATTTAACTTATTTTTTTCCTTGATCACTGAAGGGGGTAAAACTTGGGAAGTGGGTGCTTTCTATCTCAGTTGAGTCCAAGTAGAAATACGCAATTGAACTGTTTAAAAGAAACGATTTACTCATGCGTTATATTAGTTTTGAAAGAGATGATTATATAAGTATTGATATATTGATTAATTGTTGATTTATTTAGAAAAGTGTTCTTTTTATACTTTCAATTACGTTTGAAGGGAAAAAAATATTTAATATTTTTTCTAATATCACATTTATTATTTTAATTGTTTCTAATTTGTTGTTTATCTAGTAGCAGTCTTCAAACTCACGATGTACGATGAGTTTTCTCTAAGAATTAGAATAATCTATATGCATGCTGGATTGGCTTGATTTTCTTAAAACATTTTGGATTTTCTGGAATAAAATAATATTTTTTTAAATCTTATATACTCGGTCTTTTGAGATCCACCCTTGTACTGCTGTCTTCCCTATTATAATTCAAGAGGTACTTTCGTGAGTCAGCGCTCAGGCTCGCCGAATGATGACTCATGATACCGAAGAGTTGTGTAACTGGTTCACCAATCCTTACCTTAACCAAAACCCGATCAGAAATATGACAAGGCCGACGATCATCATTCATCATTGTAAGCGAATTTAATTCGATTTTTTTTAAACAAGTTGCTCATCTGTCATCATCACGCATAAAGTAGTATCATCCTCCGAATTTAACTTTTGCTTTTAAAGATTGGGTATGTTGCTCAGCGTGCTAGTCTGCCGTGCTAAGTAAAAACGCCTTATGATCATTTGAGAGTTGCCAAAGAGCCTCCCAAAATTTCGCCCCTTTTTCGGTATTCGATTCGACCATCAAACCAAGGTTTGAGTGGAAGCTCATAATGACAGAAAACTCAGGAAAAAATTTCAAGATGAGTAAAGGAACCGTTTTCGAGTTATGGGGGGGGGGGGCAAAGGGGTCAAACTCCGGTCTTACTTTCCGCTATTTTCTTGTTGAATTGATGTGTCTACGGGGTTGTTATCGTTGTTTACACATGTTATACACACCGGTTCCTACGTATTTTTACACACAAAATCGAGTTTTAATGTTGACGAGTCGATATATCGATCGGTTATATCAATCTTTTAAGATTCTTTACGGAAAATCGACGATTTTTTGAGATTGAAATTGTTCATTTTTGATTCATGGATGACTAAATGCACCTAATATGACTGTAGTACACCGACACCTACGTATTTTGAGCTCGCCCACTCGGGAGAGCTCTTTGCGATCGATTTCTTTTAGCATTGGTAGTGTCCGTGGCGACGAATGGATGGTTCTCGTTGCCGTCGGAGGAACGGCCAAAATCCCATTGATTTCAAGGTCTAAAAGTTGAATTTTCGCGGGTTACAGTTTTCCTCCGTCGAACATTTCCGTTCCCTCATTCAACTGAGGATTAATTGTTCCTCGTTTGCTACACTAGAG